CTACTGATCAAAATCCCGCCTGAAAACTGCTCACAAATATTTCAAGATGACCATATTAGGGCTTTCTTAGCACAAACCACACCTCACCCTCAAGACTGCTTTGTTTGAATTTATTCCCCCAAAACAACGGAAATAGAAAACATATACAACACATGTTTTCTCCTAAGACAGATGTTGTGATGCGTAATAGCATGAGATCGCTAAAGGCGCAGTGTTCCTGCTAATGGAACACCCTGTTTTATTCAATGATTCTGTGCATGCTTTTTGTATGAAAAATGTAAAAATATATATAACAAATAATATAGACTACAGTCATCAAAATTATACAAAAATTGTTTTTCAAACAAATTTTTTTGTATCGCCAAAAAAATATAGAAAATTACTAGAAAATAAGTGGATTTTAATAACACATCATAAATGAAAATTCTGGGCCTCCTTGTGATATGCTGCCATCGACTATTTAAAAAGAGAAGTTCGAAGTATATTATAAAGGCATTTTTATCCATTTATGGTTGAATTTAACAGTTTCAGAAGCGATTCCAATTGGGTGTTCCATGTAGTGGAACATTGAGCAACAAAGGGTTAAGAAAATACTTAAATATGCGTACTGAACAAAAAATATCAGAAGTTCTTTCTGTATAGGTTTCTATGCAAGTTCACGTATATGTGCATACTAAAATAGCACTGCAAATAAAAGGCTTTATCCATAAAAAGTAAAAAAGTGGGTACCTCCAATTTAGATAAGTACACATATTAAAAAAAAAAAAAAAAAAAGTGGATGTTAAATGTTTTACGTAGGTAGTACTTATTTATTATCCTAAAAGTTCTGAAAATGAGTAAATCATCAACTAACTAAACATGTTCTAAAATATCTTCATATTCAAAAATTTTCTAACAAGTAATCTTGTATAACAGTTTAATCAATATAAATCTGCAAATTTACTTCTTAAAGCACTGTCCAGACAGTAGAGTGGTTAGGGAAGCTTACTGCAGTACCAAAGGAACCGGAGAACCTACTGCAGTACCGGAGGAGACAATGGATGTTTGTAAATGCATGGGAACACTCTAAATATAGGGTGAGCCAAAAAGTCCTCTTGCGTGGTTTGGTGATAGGGGAGAAAGGTGGAAGACCCTCGGACTACCCTGCAGTGTGCTCTTCCTCAAAATTGGGTAGAAGCCCAACCTCCTTGAGGCTCTGGCAACCATTCTTCCATGAAATACATAGACAAGACAACAACAACTTGTTAGGAAACTGATGGTTGTGGAGAAACAAGCTAAGTTAAATGGGATGATAATGAAATATCATTTTGAAAGGTTGACTTTATAAACTGATATATATATATATATCTCATTGAATAGATAAAAAGATGAATACCTGGTATAAGGTATGAAGTATTACTACATCCATCCATTCATTCAATACAAACATAAAATGAGAAGTGGTGTAAAAAATAGCATTTAATATGAGGGAGTGATTCTCAGTGATATGGGCATTTAGACAGGATATAATTTAAAGATGCATGATGAATCACATTCTTGTTGCATCTGCACATATAATTTTTCAAGACTTGTAAGTTACATGTACCTTCACCTTAAGTTGAATATTAGATGCAAACATACAGAATTTATGATTGTATTTTCCACAATTTTTTAATTCAAGCTTATGTGCCTTTAAAAATAAATTTCACTTCTTTTAGCTATTTCTTCATATGAAAATGAAAACATGTAGTAAAAAAACAGGCAAAATCATCCAGTTTAACATCAGTTTAATGAATATCACTTGAATTCAATATAAAATTTAAGCTTTGCCGATATTTAAGTTAGAGACGAATTTAAAGAACTGGATATAAATCAGCTGTTTTCAGTACAGAGGAAGCAAAAAGTGTCAAAAAATGCTGTCATAGCTGGTCTACATGTATTGTATGAGGTAGGCTTCTAAATAGTGACTGCAGTTTGTAATGTAGTATTGTCCTCTAGTGTGTTCAGGAGTGGAAAATACAATTGAAAGATCTAGCAAGATAGGTTTTCTGGAATCAGAACTAATGGTCACCCATATCATTACTCTAGTTATAGGAATATAGCCTATGAGTCACAGGTGAATAAAACTCTGAATTGATGGTATATAATTAAGAATTGATGCTGACTGGGGTCTCGAAATTCTATTTTTGGTTTGTTTGCATTTTTATAGGGGGAAGGGGCTGTCACATTGCCATAAAATTTTAATACCACTGGCCTCATTTCACAATCTGAAACATATCATTACATCAGTCTGGGATGTTTTATTTTGATTCATCTTATCATTTGCAGTCTTAAGGGACTTGTGATTTACTCAAGAAGATAATGCCACAATATTCCTGCTTCCAGTGCTTATTTTCTGTGCATCACAGATAGGCTTAATAATGGATCCGTACCACTGCACGATGGATACTCGTACACTAATGTTTATTGCTACAAGACATTGCCTGAAATGCATCTCTTTATAAGCTGTGGGGCAATAACAGGTGGGCTTAAACAATGGATCCGTGTCATTCCATGATGTATGTCCATATATTGATGCCTCTTATTACACGCTTGTACAATAACAGGTGCCAAAACTTTGCTTATGATGCATGGTTTTATTTGCGAATATCGGTGTATTTATATTGAAAGTAGCACACTCTTTCTTTTTGACAAGCTATATACCCACCATTAAGATTTCATTAAAATGTGGCCAATGTCGACATTGGGCTGTTGTTGGTGGCCTAGAATCCACTGTTGTAACCCTAGACTTGATAAAAGTATCAACTTTGTTCTCACTATCTTTGCTGCAGTGTTTTACTTCCTTTTGTATAAATCATGAAGCTACTATGCCATGTGCTTTTGTAACTTCCTTAGATAATGTGGTATGGTCAACATTTTGTGCTCCTCTGACATTGTTTTCTGTGTGCTTTACTATCACAGTCTAGCAGGTGCAGTGATTCCCAAAGTTCAAGTCATAATCCAGCAATGGGCTGCAAATGTTTTGAAATATTTTACTGTGTGCAATTAGAATATTTGCATGCAATTAATAATTACATGTATTAATTCATTATTAGTTCATTAATAAATTTTCTTTTCTCCCCCCTCCCCCAGAGTAATTGCATGCATGTGAATTATGATGTTAAAAATTTTGAGAACTGCTGTAGTGTGAACAACAGAAAAAATAGTGAAAAGACTCCTTCTTCAAAAACTTCAGACTCCAAAGTTTGGAAGGGGAAAAAAAAAAAAAAAAAAAAAAAAAAAAAAAAAAAAAAAAAAAAGGATTTATAAAAGATTTGATAATTTACCACAATTAATAAAAGATTATGAACCTGAAAGTATTATAATGCCATTGAGTTAGGATTATTTTCTTACTTATCTTCATCCAAAACAAAAGTGCAAAACTTTTATATGTGTCATAAAGAAAAGCAAATTTCAACTAACTGTTTTATAAAATGTTGATGTAACTGTTTTATGTGATTTAACAGTATTTGTGCCATTTGTTCCCAAAAGATCTGTAACTTGAAAGAGGTCAAGAACCTGCCTACCATGTATCATAACTGCGAACTCTCCCGGTTTTACTGGAAGACTCTCACTTCTACCAGAAGACTCCTGCTTTTTTACCGGTGTTGCTGGAATCCTATATTTTTCATCACATCTCCCAGTTTAAAATTTTTTTTAGCCCTTACTAAGGAAAATATTTTCCCAGCAATAAATGAAATTTAAATACGGCACATTCAATTCCTTCACCTCTAATGATTTTCAGAATAATTTTCTTATTAAATTTTATTTCATCTAAATTGTATTTTTCCTTATTAAATTTTTCATTTGATCCACATTGTCTTAATCTAGTGTAGTTATTTGTAGATTTTTACATGAAGATTCAAGCAATGGTTAATAAATTATTAATATTTGCATTTAACTTTATCTACTTCTATATATGGTGCAATACTATGTACACATTAATTATTAATTTTATTTCCATCACATTTAAATGTTCTTTGATAAATAAAAGCTTTCCTTCACTTCTTGGGGTTTTTTCAGTGTAAAATTGTAAGGAAAATGAAATTATCCAAACAACATAAAATTTAGAATATCCAATTTTATATTTTACAAATAGTTCAATAACCTGAACCATAAAGTGAATTAAAGTTGGTTTGGAGTTCGAAATGGTGTCGCCGTGTACCCAGTTTTCTCGCAAAAATCTTCAATTCTTAAGGTTGGCAGCTATGATGTACTCTGGAAATATACAAGGTGATTCAAGATAAACCAAATCGAAAGCAAATGAAAAAAAAAAAAAAAAAACTGTATTGTAATATTAAATCAGATGGAAGACAAGATCAATGTATGCCACAGCTCATTGCATGCATTTGGAAATAGTATTGTTTGTTGGTATGTCAAAAACACTAATGCTTTTCAGTTTCTCTTCTCTCATGTCTGGTTTGGTTTATCTCAAGCCACCTTGTATAACTACACCCTTATCAATAGCATTGATAAAACATTGCATTATGTAATCAGATAGGATATAGCTTATTACATATGTTACCTAAGTTACAAAGAATTTTAAAATGGGCTCATTAAAAGAGGAACAATGAGCTACAATAGAGTAGTTGATGCTCAAAATATCTATTATTCTTCTTTGAGTTTTACTGCATTGCAATCTCCACCTCACTGCAGCTCATTTTTCATTTTTATAGGCCCGTTTTTCAATTTGTTTATGTGCAAATACTGCTTGGATGATACATCCAGTAGATTAGCTACCTTTTTGATCAATGATATAAAACATACTCTAATATCCCATGCATACATTCAGAATTTGTCATAAAAGATAACTGCTTCTGTACGACCACTATTTCTTTCAACAATAGTCTTCAATTTCCCTTTTACCTAACTGCCCTTTAAACATTTATTTTTTATATTTAAATGTCTACAAATATTATACTAAATAAACTGGAATGTTGTTAAGTAAATGAGCATGAGAAAGAATTCAGTATTGCGAGATGTTTGGAAACCACCCATTTATAAAATATAAATATTTTATTTTAAATGAATTTACATATGAAAATAACATGCTTGCTGCTACATACTATATGCAAAAAGCAGATAACTTTTAACAGTAATAACCAAGCACAGATGAAAATAATCAAAGCTTTTCTATCAATATAGCTGAGGCACCTCCCCCACCATTACAGACTGCAGCTATGCCTTTTTGTGTTGATGACAGAGAATGTAAAAGATGAAATATTATACGAGCTCCAGACATTCTGAAAATATAATAATTATATATAAATATAAAAGTTATACATGCAACCAGATAACCAGTAAGTATATTTTTTCTATGTATTGTTAGATAAATTAAAGGACCAGTAAATATTCTACACCAGTTCTTAATTTTCTCTTCAATTTATTAGCTGTGCTGATAATAAATATACAGCTTAAACAATTTCTGTATTTTGTTAACATGTTTTTTTATATTTGTAACTACGAATTATGTATTTGTAATTAATAGCTTATTTATCTTTTTTTAAAAATTTATACATTCATTCCCTGCATTTGCATTCAGTATGCATACTTTAGTTATGATGACAAAAATTTTTAATGTTTTTTATGTTAAAAAATGCATGCCAGTTTGAAAGAGGCCATAACATGGTTAAATACAGCAATGATTATAATTATGTTCTATGCAAGTACAAATAGTAAGTACGAAGATTCATGTACAATGCTGAGTGAAATTTCATCCTTTTAGTACTTTAGTGGAAAATTATGATTCTTATTGTTTTGTTTTATTCTCATTTTTAATTTTTTTTTAAGCTACATATGAAACCACATATAGAAGGCACGATATTTTTCATTGTTCAAGATTAGACTAAAATATCAGAATCTATTATGTTCATAAACATGACATGTTTTACAAATACAATGGTACATACAGATAATAGAAAGGTCCTCTTAGATATAGAAGCACTACTATATTTTACTTTTTTTTTGTCTTACATATTTACTAATAGTTGTAGTTATTTATTTTTATTCTAGCTTTAAATAAACTCCTAACTTATAACATTTTTTTTTAACATTTTATATTTATGTACTCTATTCCCTAGGCTTATATAGTGTTATTACATAATATAGTGTTATATAGTGTTATTATTATATAGCTTATATAGTTATATATATATAGTTATATAGCTTATATAGTGTTATTACATACAATTGCTAAGGACGAATCACAAACAGCTATATAGTGATTAAAAAAATAGCAGAATATGTTTGGATGCCTAGTGAAATAAAATAATGCCAGAATATTAGGACATAACAATAAAGATAATTTATGTGCTCTGAATTCTAGAAGGCTCTAAAAAGTGTTCAAGGGATGAAATGGTCATATTGTGCTGAATGTGCAAACTTGAAAAAAATGCAATTACCACCTGCAGGCATTCTGGCATAATATCTCAATTCGGGATATAGTTACCATGAAGGATGACGTACCACACACTGTGTCATATTTCAGCTGTTGGGCTAATTTGTCCCATTTCTCTTTCGGTGTGCAGAAGAGGGTGTTCCTTGTTTATTCAGGGTATTGTCCACCAGCAAGACTCCTATCCAAATCATCTCAACATTTTCAATGGGATTTAGATCTGGAGAATATGTTGGCATACGAGGCACTGAATATCCTCACTCTCTAGACTGACTGTTCAGTGACATGTTGTGTTGTCATGCATGAAAAGTTATTACCAACAGCACCACAAAACATACCAACATGAGGCAGTAGATCATCATTAACACATCGTTGGCCAGTAATAGTTCCATTTGCAACTACATGTAGGGGTGTGCAGCCATTAATCATAATGCTGGCCAGTACCATGATACTGCATCTCAGATATCAGTTCTTACCTGGATATTTTCTGGATGATAAGCAGTACCACTCTCATGCCAGATCAGTTGGCATTGTAATCCAGTAACAGACTAATTCTACTCTCATCTGTCAGAATAGTACACAAGCCCAGTTCTATTGAGTCCAAAATTATGATGCTTGTGATACCTTTGCAAATGGACAAAGGTGTTAGTACATTGCTGTCTGGACAATGGAATGCACACAACAGGAAAGCAGGCGTATAGTCTTCCTTGATGCAAATGTCTGGCTACAGTTTTTCGGGAGATTCGCGTGACAGTAGCAACAAGTAACTGATTTGCTACCTCAGCAGGGGCACTGTGCAGTTCCTTTTGTCAACAGCTCTATGTACCTATCTTCTGCAAACATTGTACTGTGAACACAACCTCCCCCATTGACATTTGTTACACATTCTATTTATTTGAAATAATTTCCTTGAAACAACACTGTGGCTGGCATCGAATTCCCTAGCAAAATCTGTTAATTTTTGCTCTTCTTCAATCCTGCCAATAATACAGGCATGTGTAAAATCATCTAAGTGATGTCGGGAAGACATACTGAAAATTGGAAGTTCATCAATTGATTCTTTCCCATTAAATTTTGCTTTTGAACAACATAGATTAATATGCGTCAAATCCTTTATCTCTTTTATCAGTGCATCATGTGACAAAAACTTCCGCAATCCAAAATTTGCAAACGTACAACACATCTTCCTGTATGCTGCACTTATACTAATTTTCACAGTTTCATGCCTTGCATTTTGTGATTGCTATCGCTGCTACTGTCATCCATCCTTAGCAGCTGTCCACAAGTGTATGAGCAGCAATCGTTGGCACACTTACAGAATGGTCTTCTCAATGGCTGGTGCAATCTCTGCAGGTCCTAAAATTCTACTGCCCAGTGCCCCTCTAAATTCTACACATTTTGCCATCCCTAAATTCTGTTGCTTAGTGCCACATCAATTGAACTGGTTCAGGCACCAGCCCTAGTTTGCTTAACTTTGTTTATAAGAATTTATTTGAAATTGCTTCATAATGGTGCCAGCAATTTTATGCAAGTCGGCCACTATTTCTAAAGACAGAATCCTTCATAAAGATGCCCTAGCATAAATTACCAGCACTCTTATAAAAATAGTTCCGACTTCTAAAAGGCAGCCTTTATGCCAGGACACCATTACACAAGTAGGGTCTTAGTTTGCTATTCTGATTTGCAAAGCAAATGAAATCTTTCTTGGATAGAAGTACCCATCATGAAAAGACTGCTTTTTTACATTAGAAATTAATCTTCATAAAGGCATCAGCAACTTCAGCTGAGGCACCCCCATGATAACTTCTATGAAAAGTAGCTGACTTGAATAAAGATACTTGCATCTTTATTCAAGTCAGACACTATTTGAAGTGCCTTATTGTAACAGTGCTTTGACTGTATAATAAGGCACTATAAAGGTACTGCAGTTCCATTATGCTGTGAGAGCATAAAAATGTACACTGCTACATAGTATTAAAAACTGCTAAGGTATCATAGGTATCTGCTAATGATTAAAGCTACTAAAAGAAAACTCTAAAGTTTATGTGCAAATAATTTAAATATTTTTATTTAAACCATATTACTTCAAAATTTTAGGGATCAGTTTAATTTTTATTCTTAACCTCTTAGCAAAATAAATGCAGCTTCAGAATTATCAGAATAATTTCCCATTAACATGAGCTATAATTTTTTGAATCCATAATAAGATTATCTGTGGCATAAATAGCTAGAAATTGATGTGAAACAGGGAACTTCAAATTATTAGAATATTAAATACAAAGACTGTGAAATGTATTATATGAGGCATTCAAAAAGTTAGCAATATGCTTTACTTCTTTATATAGACTCTTTTGCAAAAAAAAATCAAAGCACCATGAATGAAGTGGTTATTTTTGATGAAATTGAATATGTGTATAGCTCATACACAGATAATAAAATGATTAAAAAATCAAGGTCATAATACTTGCTCACGGCTCACAATCACCCAATTAGTGTCAAATTAGTAGTTGGTCATACCGCCCCTCACGGTAATGCATGCTTGAATTCATCGAGGCAAGGAGTGATCCTAATGTCATTCTGCAACACATTCTGCCAGGCATTCATCAGTTTTCACTCCAGATCTGCGATATTTTATGGTGTCCAAATCTGGCGGCCTACTATGTCCTAGACATGCTCGACTGGTGAAAGGTCTGGGGACCTTGCTGGCCAAAGAAGAGTATCAACCGCATGGAGACAATTCAGAGATATGCCAGTGATATGTGGCCTGGCATTATCTTTGTTGGAAAATGGCCCCAAGGTGAAATGCCATGAAGGGTAATACAACCGGCCACAGGATGGGATCAACATATCATTGAGCTGTTAAAGATGTACAGAGGATGACTAAAGATGACCTGCTGTTATAAGAAATAGTGCCCCAACACCATCACACCAGGGGTTATGGCTGTATGCCTTTGTAAAACAAAGGCTGATTGGGACCGCTGGCCCATCCTCTCCAGACACGAACACGGTGGTCATCTGCTTCAAGACTGAAGCAGGATTCATTGCTGGACACTATACGATGCCAGTTTGATGGCAGCCATGATGATTGGCTGCAACACCACTCCAGACGACTCCGCTGATGTTGTAGGGTCAAAGGCAAACATCTTAAAGGCTTCTATGAGCATAACTCCACCACAGACAAACAACGTGAGATGGACAGTTCCACGGGAGGTATAGACGTGGCTGTAGTTGACAATGATATCGTTGGGACGGTTCGAGCCTGGTGAACAATCATCCTATCTTGCCTCGCATTTTGTGCTCCCTGGCCTTCCAGAGCCTTCATTTCATCGGCAAGTTCCTTGTAGCAACCATTGCTGCCAACATCTTTGCACAGCAGTGTCTGTACGCTGCAAGTGGGGCCTATTGCTTGGTATGACCACTCAGCTTCACGCAACCCTACAATATGACCACGTTCGAAGTTGTTTAGTTGTCTGTAAGGTCTTTGATATCATAGTAATGGTATCTTTAGTTGCTTTTTTATGGAATTACAATGGCAGCAACAAAAAAGATAAATTTTACGCCTTTGTTACTGGTTTTATACTTTGCGAATTGCGCACTAGAAATGCATGCTATGATCGCAATTCCTGTTCATTTGCCTTGAAACTTTGATCATTTGCATGTTCTATCAAGATGTTTTTGCAAAACAAATTTCATCATGATCGCAAAAGTCCTTCTTGGTGCTTCGATTTTTTTGCAAAAGAGTGTATTAATCCCACACAAGTACTTCTATTTCTAAAATTTTAAAAATATAAAATCAAAAAACCTCTCAATATTTGAAATTTCTGTAAATTTTAAAACTAAATTTTTATAAAAAATTCTAGTTAGTAAAATATTCAATCTGCTTTAAAAGTTAAATACAAAAGCTTCACACCTTTACATGCTAAATTCATTTTAAGTATTTTAGCAGATTTTTCAAGTAAAGGTTTATCACTTTTTGTGTATAATATACTGAGTATTTTATCTACTAAAGATTTTGCTCATGGGGTACTTCACATTTATATTTTATGAAATTTTATATTAAAAATATTTATATACAATATGTTAATTGATTTTTAGAAACTTCTTAAATACAAGTCTATTATTTAATATTTAAGCAGTAGAAAAATGACTATAATTATCTTTTTTACATAAATTTTAAGCTAAGAAGGGTAGACTTGACTCATAACAATTATTTCTTCTGTCAAATGCAACATCTATTTTCTTAAATACTAAATACAACATATTTTAAAGTTAATTTTTTTTAGATGTCGTCATTATCCTTACATTATGGCATTCAATCTAAAAATAGTTTTTCCTTCGTGTATGCATTTAATTCTTGGTATGAAAATAATAATAGTAAGATTAAATAAATGCAAAATATTTTTCACTTATTTATAAGTGATATCTTCCATCTACCAATACCCCCCAAAAAAGTATGCTTACCCTAAAGGATGTCCTAAACTAACTGCTCCACCATGAATGTTAACCTTTTCTTGATTTAAATTCAGCATTTTTATATTAGCAAGTCCAGCTACACTAAAAGCTTCATTGATTTCCCACAATGCAATGTCATCTTTCTGAACATTGGCTCTTTCTAAAATCTTAAATAAATATACAAATAAAATATCACATGTATGACAAGTTTGATTTTAAATTAAAATGACATCCAAACTTATACAAAAATAAGAGAGAAATTTTATTTAAAAGTATGAGTTTACTAACTTTTGGTATTGCATAAGCTGGAGCTATGGGAAAATCTTGAGGATCAACAGCTGCATCTGCAAATGCTAAAATAAGAATTATAGTTTTTTTCTAATATCTGCTTATATTATATATTGAATATCAAAAGAGTACAGTACAAAGTTTGAGATCTGAGACCTCCAGCAACTAGGGATTTTAAGTCATTAATTTAGATTTAGTAAGATGTAATGCAGAAATTAAAAAATGATTGAGAAAATTAATGAAATGGTTGTTTGTGAAATTATGAAGGATTTACGACCTTAAACAAAACTTACCCATATATATATATATATATATATATAAAACTTATTGACATTTATTTTATTAAATACTTTTTCAACCTAAGTTGTTTGAACTTCTTTTTTTGTGTGTGTGTTTGTGTTAATACTTTATCTTCTTTTTTCAAAGCTCCATCGTTCAATACCTGTAATTGCAGTATCAAGGATTCTAACTAAATACCGTATTTGACGGCATATAAGACGCACCCTTACTTACAAGGCCACACACAAGGAAAAAAGTTTCAATAGTCCGCGCGAAAGTGCGGTACCACAATAACTTAAAATGTGATTTTTTTTAGTCCTCAAGTTTTGTATAAGCCAAATAAATAATCATTGAATGCAATTACCAAACATATTTTTATTAAGGAAAATTACCGAAATGCCTTGCTGCTGCTGTTTCCATGCATTTTGGTGTAGTTTAACACTCCTAGTTTATACCGAATTGTATAGCTTAATCTCTTGTTTCCTGTAGTCATATTTCCCAGAGTATTTTTTTTTAAACAAATAGTTTTAAGCACCGATACCAACACATTCATACAGAGTAGCACCGATACCGACACGTGTGTCGGCTGAGTCAAAGAAAGTCTATGTAAAGAAGGAAAGGCTCCATAGACATAATGTGACCGTCGAACCTGTTCGAACTCTGACATCAGCTTCGAGCTTTGGCGCTTTTTGGAGACAGATATTTCACGCATACGCAAAATAATTATGGCAGATGTAGAAAAAGTTATGTGTGTCTAGACATTTATCCGGGCTAAAAATAGCATTCAGTAATGAAAAGTTAACCTGTGTCCTTCACGTATAAGATGCAGGTAACTTTTTTGAGATCAAATTTAGAAAAAAAAGTGCGTCTTATATGCCGTCAAATACGGTATTCGATTGAAATCTTTTCAATCTCATCTCTCATTTTTTTTTTCACTACCAGCAGTGGTACTTTATGGATTAAAAATCATAGCATAGGTTTTGCCTTCCATTAACACTAGAATAACGGGAACGGTCATTTTGACCGGATCTCCATTTCAATTGGACATAACTTTAATTCTTTATTTATAAATTTTATATTTTTGGACTTTCTCTAAAAACTTATGAATATTACATGATATTTTTTTTTGTTCATTTTAAGTAATTATTTTCGACAATATTATTGTTCATACCTAGAATTATGGCTATCAGTTATTTTGATCATATCCAGAAAATTATAGATTTCTCAATAATTTTATGACATTTTAGCTATTTCTGTTTTTCTGATGGATAAAAAAGTGTTTTTGGTAAGGAAGATTGCATATTTTACAGAAGTGGGTGGAGAGGAGAGGAGGAGGGAAATAAAAACACCTGTTTGGAATTTTTATGCGCCACATGTCTATGCATTTTGCTTGTGTTAGAAAGTTTATTTTTCAGTAGGCACAAATGTACTTTACTTCATTTGGATAGTTTTGTTGTTCTGGCTTCTTTATCATGTCGTGCAGAAGCACTGGTAGAAAACATCTAAGGAAAAGATGCTGAAAGTTTTTGAAAGACTTTCTGATGATAATTCTGCTTCAGAAACTGAACCTGATAAAGAATTTCACACCGAAATTACATCCAGTTTATCCGATGAGGACTGATTCGTCCAGTGGAGAATTTGTTCACGAAAGAGAAAAGGAAAGTAAAAATTTAGATGAAGATCCCAAAGACTGCAAACTGATCCATTTGTCCTCGTTTCAGATATTTGGAATGCTTTTATAGAAAACTGCTTGAAATATTATAAACCGGGCCAAAATGTAAACAGTGGATGAACAATTATTTCCCATGAAGACCCGATGCCAATTTATTCAGCATATGCCTGAAACACCAGACAAATTCAGGATTAAATTTTGGCTTGCTATGGATGTGCAGTCAAAATATTTACTGAACGCATTTCCCTATTTGAGGAAAGATGAAAGAAGACCAGCTAGAGAAACAGTAGGTGAACGTGTAACTTTTCGCTTGATGGAACTGCCGAAATTAATAAAAGAAATGAGGAATTCAGGAATAAGTTCCATTGGCACAATAAATTATTCAAAATGAGAAGGACTTTATTCTTTCAAAAATATGAGTGATGAGCTCTGTTCTAGTAAGATTGCTAAGCATGCAATATAGTGCTTACATCTTATCGAGGGGGGAAAAAAAGAACGTCCTGCTCCTGAGCCATGCACCCAACACATTAGAAATCGCATCTGATGAAAAAAATACAGTAAAAGTTGTGAATTTTTACAATTTGACCAAATATGGAGTTGATGTTTTGGGCCTGACGGCCAGAAAGTACTCAGTGAAGTCCTTATCCAGCCATTGGCCAGTTCAAGTTTTTTTTTTTTTTTTTTTTTTTTAATATTCTTGATTTGGCCATGATAAATGCATGGATAATTTACAAAGAAGCAACTGAATATAAGTATATTAGCCGTCATAATTTTATTTGGAATATGGCTGAGGAGCTTCGAAAGATGTACATTTCACCCAAAATTCACATTTCTAGGAAAAAGCCCACAGGAATAATACTCACAGAATAATGCTCACACGTATAAATGCTCACAGGAAAAGAGCTTACACAGAAATATGCACACACAGAAAAAAGCTCATGTGGAAAAATGCTCACTTAGAAATATGCTCACATGGAAATAAGCTCACTGATAAATCAAATACGTAGAAATATCCTTACATTAATCAATCAATAATTAATCGATCTAAACATTGTACACCTACTTAATTTTTAAAAGAAAAATTATTTAATCATTTGAAAACATTATTGGACAAATGCTCACATTAACCTTTTCAGAAACTGTATATAAAAGAATGAAATAGTAAAATTTTGCATGTACTGTAATATTTTATACTTCTGGCCCTGTACGACATTTTTATTCTTGTAACTGCCAATAGTTAATTTTTTAACTTTATTTTTGCATAATTTTGATGTGTATCTATAGGAACTGATGTTTGAATGTAGTTATTTAAGTTTGGAACCAAAAAAGTTCTAGAAGACCACATTTTCTAATCAAAGTGTGGAATCATTATGAAGCAGCCTCAGAAAAATCTCCTAAAACCATAAATCATTATGAAAGCTTTCATAAGATACTAAATTCATTATTTAATCGTAGCCATCCCAGTATGTGGTTTTTATTTGACGAACTTAAAAAACATTTAGCCTATCAACATTTATTATTAGCTATTGTAAATACAGGATTGTACTGAAGTTAAAAAAAAATAAAATAATGAAAACTTACATTTAGTAATCGCGAATTATGTAAGAAACTATGATGAAATCGATGATAAAATTAGATATTTACACATATTAGCTAATATTCAGTAATTTTATGTATTTATAACTTTTTGAAATATATATTTATGATTTATATGTAATAAGGTATTTTATGTAATTTAAATAAAATAATTATTTATATTTGCTATTCTTCTAAATGTTTATACACTCAAAAGTCTTTAATCCGGACGTCCATAATTCGGAATGATCTATAATCCGGACCTCAAAGCTACAAACTTTCTGCACATGCGTAAACACATCGCATAATACCTTTACGCATGTGCATAATACATTTATGCATGTGTGTTTAATGTATAACGGATGGTATAAGCTAGGCTAAAATTATCTAATTATCTATTTCAGTTAATGTTGCAGATTGCATTGTTCCTTAATCTTCTAATTTGATCCAGCTTATTATTTTTTGCAGACTGTTAGAGCAATTTTATAAAAGGTAAGCTTAAACTTTCGATTATGTCAAAAAGAGTTTCCGATTCTATAGCTGCCAAAGCATCTACAAAGTGAAAGCATGTTTCGATGTACCGCTTCCGATAGTGAAGAAAGTGACAGAGAGGTTATTGAAAACGAAAAAATTTCAATTGTCAAATTAGTCGGTATTTTCGACACAGCAATTATAGGACTTGAACAATGGAACTTTGTAACTGAACAAGAAATTATGTCTGTTTATAGAATTAAAGAGAAAGTATTAGCACATAAAACAAAGCTACTTAAACAACTTACATTGAAAGAAATGTTTAATAAAATAAACAAATAAGTATTAAGCTGTTTTTTTTTTTTTGTAAATTTTGATACCCTTTAGATCATAATTGCTCTTTATTTCATAAATTACGGTTTCATATTTTTAACTTCTGCATGCCATCTTACCAGATTTAACTGATGATCTATAATCCGGAATGGCTGAAGTCTCGACGAGTCCGGATTAAAGACTTTTGACTGTATTATAAAATGTGTAACTTATATTTCCTATTATTTTATTTTTTGAACAATTAAAATTGTAATAATTTTTCACTGTATATTCTGTTTCATTTTTCTTCCTTCCTCCTCTCCGTTTCCTAATTCAAAACAGTCCATTTGTTAATCTTATATGGCAACTGAATCTACACATAAGTTATACTGTTTTTGATGTATATATATACCATAGATGTTTTCGTAATTTAAATAATTTTTCTTTTAAAAATTAAGTAGATGTGCGATTTTCAGATTGATTAATTATTGATTGATTAATGTAAGGATATTTCTATGTATTTTATTTATCAGTGGGCTTATTTCCATGTGAGCATATATCTATGTGAGCATATTTCTATGTGAGCATATTTCTATGTCAGCATTTTTCCATGTCAATTTTTTTTTTTTTTTTTTTTTTTTTTTTTTTTTTTTTTTGGTGGGCTTTTTTCCTGTGAGCATTATTCCTGTGAACTTTTTTTCCTGTGGGCATTTTTCCGGTTACCAAAATTCACAAACTTTCTATATCTAATGAACTAATATGTGTAATTTTTAATATATTTATTTCTTATTAAAATTTTTATGCGGCAATTTATTAAACGATAAGAAGCTTAAAAATATGTAGAGTAACTTTTTTCTCTTTTAGCTCTTTGCTATATTAAATCATCCTTCGATTAATAAATTTACACACTTTGCTTTATTTTGCTCTTTGTTACATTGAATTATCTTTTGGTTGCATGTATTTACTCAATTCACTTTATCTACTTATTAAACAAGCAAAATGTATCATTATAAGCATTAACTTTACATAGTATTAGAAAAATACAAGCCTTTTCAAAGTGACAGCCGATCGCAGCCATAAGTATATGAAAAATGCTGTAGTGCTAGTGTTGATTGATGGTTGGGATTTTGTTATCACATTGAAGACTTACATATATATATATATATCTTATCTATATATAAGTAAGATATATATCTATATATTACTTATATCATATTCATTTAGCATTATAATAATCAGAAAATTTTGTTTTTTCTTCTGCTTCTTTAATTGCCAGACAGCCCAGCATGGGCCCTTGCCTTCCTCAGAATCGAATTACAAGCTCTTTTATCCCTAGCCATGGACATCCAATTGATTATTTTTAAAATTAAGTCCGTTTCCAAACAGTCAAGCCACCTAAGTTTAGATCTCCCTCTTTTTTGGGTGCCGAATGGTCTGTCCGAGAAGATCTTTTTAGTTACTCGATTTTCATCCATTCTGCACAGGTGTCCTGCCCATTTAATTCTCTGAATCCTTATATATTTTACTATATGTATTTCTTTAAACAATTTATAGAGTTCAGAGTTAGTTCTTTTTCTCCAGATATTGTTACACTTTATGCCACCAAAAATATTTCTCAAAATTTTTCTTTTAAAGACAGAAATGATACTTTTAGCTTTTTTAGCTTTTACTTGGAATATTCAAAAATTTTCAAATTTGCATCTAAACATTATTACAAAATATGCTATAAATTATGCCAACCACTTTTAAAAATCTCCATAGACATGGCTTCTTATGACTTCGCAATGCTATACACAATGCATTTTATATTAAAATATCTCTAGAATGGTTGGAAGGGCTTACTGCTGCATCGATTTTAAAGAGGCTACTTTATATCTGCATTTGAGTGTGCATAAAATTCCAGTATCCATTGACTGAATGATGGATATACAGTTTCCAAGAAAAAGTAAAATAAGGACATTATCTTTCAATAAAATTTTAATCTTGATAAAGTAACAGTAATATAATAGACTGAACAAAGTAATAATCTGAGTCGAAACAGAAAATTAAAGAAAGGCGTAATTTACTATGAAACATGGCTTACTAATCTGCATTTGTTCTGCCTTTACAACAAATGCAGCTGCATTTGTTGTAAAGGCAGAACAATAAGTGGGCTGGTCCAATACAGTTGCGGATAATGATGTCTACTGGCAAAAGAAATCTCAGCTAATTGGGAGAAAAATCAGTTTATGTGTATTTGAATTTTTGTGAATATTGCATTCGTTTTCCTACAAGAGTGAGAAGAAGAAAATTACTGCAATAAATAAAATGAAATTTTAGGAAAGGTCCAGATAATAGATCATTCAAGTTACTGAATGTCTGGATTTCAGCCATTATACTGTATATAGTTTGCTAAAAAATTACCTAATACTTTAGCTATTGGTTTTATATTCATTGACTCTGCATAAGCACTGGTTGTCAATACACAAGCTGCTGCACCATCACTTAAAGAGCTAGCATTAGCTGCTGTAATTGTGCCTAAAAGAACAGTATTTCATACAAAATGATAAATACTTTTGCTTTTATCATAAATATTGAAATTCAGTTAACAGTATAAAAAGAAGTATAGTATGACTATATATTAAAACAAATAATATATGTATTTAGAAATTTCTACAAGGAGGTTCCTTGATTATCATTTGTTGGCAATCTATTAGTTGAGTTACTAATGAAAAAATTTTAAACAAACTAAAAGTAAAAGGAATTACAAATGATCATATTTGTTATATGCATACATTAAAAATTTAAATATTTATAACTTACATAATTAAAAACAAGGAGAAAAATTACATTTGAAAAATAAGGAAGCAAATTGCTTTAATAAAGTATTGTGGTTCAATAATAATCAAAGTACTATTGCAATAAATCTATTGCCAAAAGTTATTAGAGAAGAGTTTTAGGTCTGTTTGATCATTAATTTACAGATCGGGTTTCACATATCATTTATGCTTTACCATTTAGCATTAGCTATCATAAATTATGAAATAAGTGGTGAAAGCTGGTTATTAGTCATCTAAAATCATCACAGTTAAATGATGAGACTATACTCAGGACTTAGTTTTTAAAATTAAAAGTGCTGCAGTTCTATCGATGGCAGTTGGAAAAGTTGCAGAAAAAGAAATATCACAAAAATCAATAATTCTAATTAAAATGTAAAAAGGATAAATAAAAGTATTTATAAATTAATATTAATTATAGTTAGAGGAATTAGAGGTTAAATTAAATTAATGCTTCCTAGAATTTGTTGAACATTGAAAATGCCATGGTTCGAAAAAACAAATATTTATTACAGCGCAATATGCAGAGTTACATGCAGAGAAATACACGCAGAAAAATAAGCAGAGTTACATGCAGAGAGTGAAAAAGTTTACAGAGGTCATATATATAAGTTTACAACAGATCATGATTTATTAAATCATAAACAAGACACAATAAACAACCAATCAAAAATAACATAAAGAATGGGATTAAATTTCAGAATAATTCTGACCTGATCGAAAGCTAATGCATTGGATGTGACAGAAAGCTATACTATTTTAACCAATAAGAATGCGATTACAAATATCTGAACAGAATTAAAATGAAGTATGGTAACAAGGTATATTACATTGAAAGAAGGATTCTGAACAAGACTGAGTTTAGATAAAATTACATGTAGCTCTCCTACAACACAGTATCCTATCACACAGTTTCGTTATAACATGATTCATAAATTGCGGAAACTCTCCTACAACACAACATCCCATAACACAGTTTCACTCAAACATGATAAGAACGGAAATAAGTTATATGGTGGAGAGTGACTGCTGAAATTTTAACCAGTAATGAGGAAAAATCATTTCCCTCCATAACTTTCACGGTATAGCACAATAGAAACAACACACAGTCTCAATACAGCACAATCATCAGATAACAATGAAGAAACCTCACTATTGCAGAAGGTGAACAATATGAGGTCACAATAAGAGCTCCAAAATGCACAACCTCCACATTCAGCTTCCAAAATTTGAATCCTCATCTCTGTGGCCTGAAAACAAAAGTGTCTCACGCTGCTTCAAGCCACAGTATGTTAAAGAATAACTTTTTAGTCTTCAAGACTATTAAGTTTCAGTTTCAAGCCATGTCCGATAAAGATTTAAAAAAAAAAAAATGTTTAAGAGGAAATTTATTTCTTCAGAAGTACAGATACAAATCTTGGATCATCTTTTAAAAGGAGAAAAAGCATCTCACATTGAATGAAGCAATAGTCCGGACTATTAAGAAAGATGAAAAAGAAATAAGAAGTGCAGTTGCTGCAGGATCTTCAACATCTGGAAAATGCGCAGCTCGCCCCAGAGTGCCAATAATTGAGAAAATGAGAAAGGCACTCAGCATCTGGATTGATGATAGCTGTCAAAAAAGAATTCCAGTGGATGGTAATATCATTAAACAAAAAGCACTAAATTTACAAACACTTTAAAGAACATGGAGAATCCTCTGTTAACCCACATTTTGTGGCAAGTAAAGGTTGGTTCAAAAATTTCAAAAAGTGTTTTGCAATTCCTAGCATAAGAATTCAAGGAGAATCTGTGTCATCTAACCATGAAGCTGCTAGGACATATCCAGAAAAAATTCAAAACATTATAGAAGAGCAAGGATACAGAGCCAAATTTAGACTTGATAAGGCCCTAAGCTATTTGAGATATGGGACCCTTTATAAGTCTGTTATATTTTAATACTATTTATAGTTCATTTTTTGCGAGGCCCCCAAGAAAGTGAGGCCCTAAGCTGTAGCTTGTGTAGCTTATATGTAAATCTGGCCTTGTAGATAGCAGATGAGATTTTCAATACTGACAAAACTGGGCTTTGGTGGGAAAAAAGTGCCCAGTAGAACCTTTATATCAAAGAAAAATTGCACCTGTATTTAAGGTGCAATTTTGTCTAACACTACTTTGTGCAATAATGTGTCGGGCTACTTTCTCACAAAACCCTTGCTAGTTTATAGATCTTTAAATTCTCATGCACTTAAAAGCATAAATTAAAACACCTTACTGGTATACTGAAAAGCAAATATTAGAGCTTTGGTAACTGGAAATTTATTTAAAGACTGGTTTTTAAATTGCTTTGTGCCAAATGTTGAGTGCCATTTTAGGCAGAAAAATTTTAGCTTCATGGCGCTATTATTAGATAATGCTCCACATCACCCACAAGATTTGAATCATCAAATACTGTTCCTACTACTTAACATTACTTTGTTGCTTCAACCATTGGATCAAGGCATTATTTATATCTTTAAAACGAATTACACACTAACAGCATTACAGTGGATTTTAGACATAATCGATTCAAAATCAATTAATGTAATGGAAAATTGGAAGGAATTTTCAATCAAGCACTGTATTGACATCATATCTTTGACAATGAAAGAGCTGAAAACATCAATGTTAAATTCGTATTGGAAGAAGATAAGGTCTTGTTCAGTTGAAATAGAAAATGTAATTGGTGGCATATTAGAGCTTGCTAAATCAGTCAGAGGCAAAGTTTTTGTGGATATGACTATTCAGGATGTTCAAGATATATTAGTGGAAGAAGTTGACGAAGTGGATTTGATAGAACTGGCATCCAAAGCTGTAAATCAAATCAATTCTGAGGATACTACCACTGATGAAGATTGTGCAGTTAATGATTTAAAATTAAAAGAAGGCCTAAGCTTAGCTGAAAATATTGAGTCATTTTGTTGAATGCAGACCCTTCCACTGACAGAAACCAAAAATTCAAAAGGAAGCTGCAAAACTGTTTAGCTCCATACTGAAAAATTTACAATGACCTGATAAGAACCAGCAAGCAAAGTAAAATTACAAGTTTTTGAAAGGAGGAAGAAAATGCAAGAACTTTAAATGAAGGAAAAAGTTATGAAAGCGAAAGCGATATCATTCCACCGAAGAAACATTCTTGGTTGATTATACAGAGCAGTGAAGAGAAAAAAATTTATTAAATGTAAGTTGTGTTAAATTAAAATTTTTGTTTTGTGTTGTACATAAATTTATATATTTTATAAAAATTAAGTAGTTTATGCAGTAAAAGAAAATATTTGTTTTTAATAAGTTTTCAGAATGTAACTCCCGTTTTTGTACTGCCTTTCAGCCTCACACAACATGGCATTTTCTAGGCACCTCTCTACCATGTTATAAGAGGGTTAAATGTACTGCACTATTTTAACTCCTAATTTTTTTTAAAGCCTTCTTGATCATATAAAACCTTCTTTTCCTGAATGTATAGCATTCTGAAATGATGATTTGTTCCCAGTTACTTCAGTTTTCCTAAGCATTTTACTTAAGGCTTTTTTTTTTTTATTTATTTATTTTTTAAAATTTTCTATATATTTTACTTAAAGCTCTGCAAGGTATTGACTCAAAACCTGAGAAGATCAAAGTTGAGTTCCAGCTGAATGTAAGCCATAGCTGTATTTAATGTTGATAGTTAAAATATCCAAATAAAATGGTGAAATTTACGAATTAAAGAATAAGCCTGTTTATTTGCAGGAAATCATTTAAAAGCTATCAGAAAAGTTTTGCCTAGAGATAGCACAGGGAGGAAAGGAGGGAAACTACAGCTCATGACCAAACTTTGTTTCATGGTTTTATCCATTTTATCATTAGCATGCCTGTCTGCCTAGGAGAAGGATGCCTTCTGAAACATTTCAAAGATAAACTAACTTATATTTATACCATATTTGAAGGAAACCATGATTTTAACCCTCTCCACTTTCAGAAACTGACCTCAGAATTAAATTCTGTAGGTAATACAATGAATGAAAAATCCAGTTAACAGCTAGTACGCAAATATGCTGGTGATTGCACATTGAACATGTTGCCAGCAGTTTCTGCATATAAAAAGTGTAACATAAGAATAGCTAGATGAAAAGAAGGTGAAGAAAACAGAGAGAAACAAACCTTAAGTGCTTATACAACACTGTGAACAACAACAGTAAAAATGCAATGCTACATTTTGTTTTGAAAGTTTTAATAGCATGAACATCAAATAATAAATTATTGACAAATCTGATGTATATTTTTATCATCCATAAGTTTCTTTAGCTTACGCATAACTTACCATCATTACAGAAAACAGGTTTAAGAGAAGGTATTTTTTCAAAGTTCACTCGCTTCAGTTCTTCATCTGTATTAATAATTATATCTGGTTTCCCTCTCTTTCCTGGCACAGTTACAGGCACAATCTCCTCTTCAAAAATACCTAACTAGAAAAATGATTAAAACACTTAAAAAGAATTAACAAAGTAAGCAATACACATTTAGAATAACATTAAGAAATATTTTTACATAAATAAAACCAACAATTACATCAGTTCAGAAGGATAATATACTTTTTGGTAATCTTGACTGATAATATTTAAACATTAAAAAAAATATACTTTTGAAATTAATACTCTACTTTGAGAGTTTGTGGCTGTAGTAGTTGCTCGAACAGTTTTAATCAGACAAAAAAGAAATGTAATTGTTAAAAATGCTTAGATTTTTTTCCTTGCATAAAATGAATAGCCACAAGCATACGGCTGATGGAATAAGAGGGGGAATTATCAGTAGATTGGAGGGAGGTCGATCTCAAGCACAGGTGGTTACAGAGCTCAGTGAATTACCCAGTGTTGTCTTACTGGCAAATGCACCAGCCCACCACTGCCAATCCAATGTAGAGGATGCATTGCATTCATGTAGAGAGACATACATTAAGGCTGTAATATGAGGGGACCCCATCATCCTGAAACCATAATAAACATGTTTTCTCAACCTGTTTGTGTCTTTCCTTTCTTGTGTTTTGTGTCATCAGTATTGCTCCAGAAAAGCATTTCCAACCACACATTGTTATAAGATTTTCCATCATCTACATGTACTCTATCTCTCCTGAAAGTATGTAACCAAACACTGCTGAAACACCCTGTATATAAAATTTGAAATCTTTTTTATGCGTATCAAAGAATTTGTATAAAGTCAGAGTTACGAATGTCCCATAGTAAATTTGATACATTTTTCAAGATATCTTGTAACCCAGCAATTGTGATCAAGAGTACCACTGCATGACAGTGTTAGATAATACCTTTTACAAGGATGCCTTCACATATACAGATTAGTTTTTAACTTTAGGGAAAGGAACCTTCATTAAAGTGCACCTACCCTTTAAACTAGGCCACAGCTATGCATGCAGATAGTCTGCTACTCTGATTAATAAAGCAAATGCAAATATACTGGTATAATGATGCTCCAGCATGCCAAGGCACCTTACTGAAGGTTTCTGTCTTGGCAAACATCTTGCATAAAGGTGCCAGGACTTTTGCACTAGATACTTTATAAAAGTAAAACATGATTTAAATGTACTATTAGATTCCAGCACTTTTTAATGCATTAAGTAATCTCTTTTCATATTAAAGATCAATGTTAGGCCAAAAAATATACACTAGATTTTCTGTACAGCCTCTTGCCTGCGAAGGTTTATATAGGAGTATAATTCCTAACATCAAATTAATTTTCTTAAAGCTGATTATTTGCAGTAAATCTTTAAGTTTGAAGCCAGGATTCAAATCCAATACTGCAATTTATAAAATAAATGTTATATTAATTTTACTGATTTAAAACTTACCAATGTAGTGGATAATAAGCACATCCAAACAGAAATTAAAGATGAATAAATTTTAGTTTCTTCTTATAATTTAGCCAAAATGTATGCTTTTGATTAAAATTATGTTATTAATTTCTCATACCTCACAATTTGTAATCTCATGAATAAAATTTTGCAGTTTTATTATGTTATGTACATTTAAGTTAAGTTTCAGTAATTGTACTGCTATTTTAATCTATGATAGATTTTCATCATATAAATAGCTTACTGCAAAATATTGTGTAGTTACATATAAAATAGAAAAGCAATAGGAAATACTTTACTTCTTCTGCAGCAATTGCTCTCTTGTAACTACTTATTGCATACTCATCTTGATCTTCTCTGGAAAAGTCAAATTTTCTTGCTATACCTTCAGCACACTTACCCTAAAATGACCAAAATATACATCTGTTGTAGATTCAAATAATTAAAAAATTTGAGCAAAACAATTTTATCTTATTTGTAAAATCCTAATTATAATTTTAAATAAATATTAAAAAAGAAAAAATTGCCAAAATATAAGACTCAAATGCCAATACTATGTCATAAAAATATTCATTATTTTACCAAAACTTCAGACATTTCTGACAAATATAAAAAGTATTATGGTTATGTAAAAATATTCTATTCATGCTGAAAGAAAATGTCACATGTCAGAAGCTAAAATAGCAAACAGAGTATTGAAAAAATGCCATCCCCGATCTCCAAATTTTTTAATTTAAAAAGGCATTCACATTCGAATGTTAAGAATTTTTAACTAAGACGATTCTGCTTCACCCAGTTATAAGGTTAATTCAATTACGGCAAAGCATGTGAAGGAAATCAAAGAAACCAAAGGAGAACTCCCCTGGTGGAGAACTTTTTAAAAACTTTATACAGTTACAAATAAATATAAACTATCAGTAATCAGTGGCTTTATCTACTCAGCAGTTAACAAGCTCCATATACGGGAAACACAAGCCAAAATGTTAAATATAACATGCATAGATAAAATAGAGCAGAAACAGTAGCTTGGGTCCCTTTGGCTCACAAATGAACAGAAAAAGATGTGGCGTGTCCATTAAGACAATGCTTGTATATAAATCATTCATCTTCACAATCATAATAAGTTTTAATGCAGTATGTGTTAATATGAATGACTACTCAAATTGTATACCAGTTTGGTGTGCTGCTAGAAATTCTTAGGAATCCAACTGATGAACAAGTGCTTTCCTTATCTACTCAGAGATTCCAGAAGGCTTATATGTTACAAGTTTGTGCCCATACCTGGCTTGCTGTTAGTGCCCTTTATAAACTAGCCACTATTTCAAACTAAAATAGGCCCTTATTTAGTTAAATATACCCAAAAATGTCCTTAGTTTACCACTAATATTCTTCATAGTTAAATTATACAGTCAAAAGTCGTTAATTCGGATACCCATAATTCGGAATAATCTATAATCCGGACCTCAAAACTAAAAACTTTCTGCGCATGCGTCGCGTTGACACATGCGCATAGGTGTTTACGCGCGCGCGTAAGACCTTTTACGACTGCGCATATGCAGTGTGCGCAAGTGCAGAATATGTTTTCGCGTGCGCGTTTAACGTATAACGGACGGTATAAGCTAAAATTATCTAATTATCTATTTCAGTTAATGTTGATGATTGCGTTGTTCCTTAATTTTCGAATTGGATCCGGCTTGTTATTTTTTGCAGACTGTAAGAGCAATTTTATAAAAGTAAGCTTAAACTTTCGATTATATCAAATAGAATTTCCGATATATATTTGTTAATATGTAAAGGATCTAAAGCGAAAGTATGTTTTGAAATCCAAAATCTGTTTATCAATTTCACGCTGCTCGGCGGGGGGAACGCCGCGACGGGCGCGTAATGAATTGGAAGTTGATCTGTCAGCACTATCCTTATCTTCAGCGGCAGATGTTTTTATTTTATTTGGCTTATAATTCCTTACCAAATGTAGTATTTCATCTCGATATGCTCCGTCTTTGATATGATTTAAAACAAGTTCCTCGTCATTATAATTCGCTTCCGATAGCGAAGAAAGTGACAGAGGTTATTGAAAACGAAAAAATTTCGATTGACAAATTAGTCGGTATTCTCGACACAGCAATTATAGGACTTGAACAGCGGAACTTTGTAACTAAACAAGAAATTATGTCTGTTTAATAGAATTAAAGAGAAAGTATTATCACATGAAACGAAGCAACTTAAACAACTTACATTGAAAGAAATGTTTAATAAAGTAAACAAATAAATATTAAGCTTTTCCTTTTTGCAAATTTTGATACCCTTTAGATCATAATTGTTCTTTATTTCATAAATTACGGTTTCATATTTTTAATTTAAGAATTTCTGCATGCCATCTTACGAGATTTAAACTGATGATTTATAATCCGGAATCGCCGAAGTCCCGACGAGTCCGGATTAACGACTTTTGACTGTATTATAAATGAAATCTACAAGATGAAGTTGTTGATGATGTCATCATAATATAACCTTTGAGCAATATTTTCTGTCAACACAAATGCAAGGGAATTCAACCCCTGTTGACATAAATATGATCTAACATCATTTTCTATCAATTTTTAAAATTAGAAAAACTTCTTTCTGCTACAGCTACTAATACCAAAAGGGTGAAAAAAATTTATAGGCTAAACAGGTTCAGGTTAAGTATCTTATAAAAAGTACAAATGAATGTAGGAAGCTATTTTTTTTTGGTATTGTTACAGTTTTTGTATTCATTTAACTATTTTTAGTAGAATTTGTAGTTAAAATTGTTTTATATTCCTGTGCATTGCAACACGAGACTTATTTGAAGAGAAAGCTATGCCGGAAAAACTAAAATATAAAAGCACATGCATTTAACATTTTAATAAATATATATCTCGTAATTGTACCCTTGCTATCCAGAAAAATCAAGAAAATACTAGAATGTTCTTGTGCATTTAAAAAGCTTATAAAAGCTGGAGGAAAACATTTCAATTCAGTTTTTTTATAAAACTGTTGTTGTTTACTGTAGCGAATTCACGGCAAGGTCGGATTAGCGTTCTCTACGTTTCTCTGTTTTGAATTGAGTTATATTCAATGTTTTAGTAGTTTAAAATATAACTACTGTGAGATATTGTATGAATATCTCTGAAGATTTCAGCATTTTGTTTTTTATTTGTTGTAATAAGAAGAAATTTTATTCACTTTTCATCGGACTTGTGCATTCAATTTACTACGAACCTGTACGCATGCAACACTTTTTGGTGGTAGCGGTGGTATTTGAATGCCAATAATTAGAGTGATCGAAGAACAATTGAAGCAGTTGATAACTACACTTGCTGCATTCCAAGAAAAGATGGAAGCTGGCCAAGCATCCTTTAAAGAAGAGATTAAGGATGGTCAAGATTCTGTTAAAGAGGCGATGAAAGCTTGTCAAGATTCCATTAAAGAGGAGATCAATGCGGATCAATTATCTGTTACAGAGGAATGAAACTGTTCAGGAATCTGTTTAAGAGAAATGAAGGCTGTTCAAGGAAAGATTAAAGCAGGTCAAGAGGAAATGAAGAGGGAAATTACTTGCATAATAGAAAACAAGTTCGAGGCCATGGAAGAAACACTAGATACAGTTGAAGACAAAGTTGGTGAAATTCAAGAAAGAGTTTCTGTGGTGGAGCAACAAATGAAAGAAAGAGTTTTTGTCGTCCAACAACAAATTGATGAAAGGGTTTCTGCTGCTGTCATCAAAGAAGTTGACACCTTAAAAAGTTACAGGAATAGTAACAGAAGGAAAAGCACTGATTTGTTACTGGAAAAGTAACAGAAGGAAGCAATTCTGAGGGTTTTAAATTTTTACCCATGCCTGCTCATCCGTCCCTGAAGCTATGACGTATGATGGGAAGACCTCTTGGCAAGTGTATACGATGCAATTTTCTATAGCGGCAGATCCAAAAGGATGGAATTTCCAAGCAAAGGCCTTTCATCTCACCGCTTCTCTGAGAGCAGACACAGTGGATATCCTTTGGACTCTTCCTGAAAACCAAAGGCTAAATTTCGAAGCTCTGTCCAGTGCACTTTGGGGAAAAATGTTTGAAAAAGTACAGCATGCTTCAATTAAAATCCTGTCGACAGAAGCCCATCGAAACACTCCAGAAACTTGCCGCAGATGTTGAAAGGTTGTCCCACTTTGCATTTTTGGAGTGCCTGACAGAAACAAGGGAAATCCTGTTCTTGCAATATTTTATCAACAGCATCTGGGATCCTGAAATACAGAAAACTCAGCGAATGACGGATGTTAAGGACATAAAAAGGGCTCTAATACGCCATGAAATTCGAGGCAGCCCAGCAAGCAACTTGTAGAGCTCGCTACCCAGTCAGAGCTGTGGAAGTCCGCGAGTCAGTGTATCAATTAATGGCTCGTTTAGAATCTAGACAAATCAGTGCTTTGATATGGAGGAGTGAGAAGAAACTGGCTCTAAAGTGTTGGAAATGTGGTACTGAAAGGCACATACGACAGCATTGCAGAACACCCCAGGGCACGGAAAATAAAACACATGATTTGACCAGACAAGTCAGTGGCTTGAGATGGAACAAGAGAGAAAAGAAACCAATTCTAAAGTGCTGGAACTGAAGTGTTAAAGCCACATACAAAGGAACTGCAGAGCACAGAAAATAAGACAGATGAGTTAAACAGACAATTAAATGCCATGAGACGAAAAAGGAGTGACCAAAAACAAAAGTGCTGGAACTGTGGTTCTAAGGCCACATATGAAAGAATTGCAGAACACCCCAGGGCACAGAAATTAACACCATTTCCCAGCAATGATGGAGGAAACAAATTAACAACCACATCGAGAAACGGAGGTTGCCAGATAATGAAAAACATCGTTTTAAATAGCTTGAGATTTTTGCAGCGAGTGGCAACAGTAATGGCCTGTCCATCAATGAGCATATCGATGGTGTTAGTTGCAATATGATTATTGACACAGGAGCTAATGTTACTATCATTCGGAAAGATTTAGCTCAACAGTTTAAAGATAAACTCAGTTGGACACCATACTGTGTTGCAATCCAGACAGCGTCTGCTGATAAAATGGTCATAGATGAGAAGTTAAACGTGAGCATAACATTTCGAAGTGCTGCCTACTATCATACAGCATATGTGGCAGCCATTACTGATCCTTGCATACTCAGATTGAACTTTCTAAGGAAATATAATTTTTTGGACTTCAAAAACAACAGACTGCTTTCAACATCAGAGGACATAACTATCCATCATCAGAAGGATCCTCACCTGGAAACGCTGATGCATTGTCTGAAAAACCCAGCTCAGAAAGCTTCTGAAATCATACTAGGGTCGAAGAGAAACACAAGACAACTGGCTATTCTCCATCTTAGATGCTCTTCTATTGTGAACCTCATCTGGCTTGTGATCTTACGTTTGGTCGACCTCTGGATGCACCTTCACTGCCTAAAGAATACATCCAAGATCACCAGGCCCAGTTTGAAGTGATGCAAGAGCAAGTCAACTTGGCGGCGGAAAAAATGAAGACCCGATATGACACGAGAGCTGCTGGACATTGATTCAATGAAGGAGACAAGGTGTGGCTGTGGAACCAGATTCAATGAAAAGGACTCAGTCCTAAATTACAGTCACCTTGGGATGGTCAATAAACAGTGCTAAACGGGCTGAATGATGTCGTGGTTTGGATCGGTAAGTCATCGAACTCTAAACTTAAAGTCGTTCATTACGACAGGTTAGCAGCTTACTATGGTCATAGCACGTAGTATATATATATTGTAAATATTATTGTAAATAATATAAGACCATGGTCATTTTTGTTTTTAAATTCGTATTTGATTTGACTTGCATATAGTATTTGATTTGTTTTAAGTTATTGCAATTGTTTATGTTGTTATTATAATGTAATGTTTAATATTGCATTTATGCTTAGTTGCAAGTTTGGCTTCCTGTCCAGAAATTGTACTAACGGGACGTGCAATCTTTGGAAAGGGGGCAACGTTACAGTTTTTGTATTTAATTAGCTATTTTTAGTAGAATTTGTAATTAAAATTGTTTTATATCCTGTGCAATGCAGCATGAGACTTATTTAAAAAGAAAGCTATGCCGGAAAAATTAAAATGCAGGAGCATGCGCATTTAACATTTTAATAAATAGATATCTCATAATTGTGCTCTTGCTGTTCAGAAAAATTCAGAAAATATGAGAATGTTCTTGTGCATTTAAAAAGCTTATAGAAGCTGGAAGAAAACATCTCAATTTGGTTGTTTAGAAAACTGTTGTTGTTTATTGTAGCCAATTTGCGGCGAGATCGGATTAGCTTTCTCTATGTTTCTCCGTTCCGATTTGAGTTATATTCAACGTTATAGTAGTTTAAAATATACCTACTGTGAGATATTGCTATATTGTATGAATATCTCTGAGGAAGTTTTAGAATTTTGTTTTATTTGTTGTAATAAGAATAAATTTTATTCACGTTTCATCATACTTGTGCATTCAATTTACTACGAACCCGTACACATGCAACAGTATTTTTCACCACTTCAGATATGAGATCCAATCGACTGCAAAATTTTATAATGACAATTTTATAGTTTTACAGTTACTGTACACTTATTTTATCATTTGAGTTAAATTAGGCAGCAAATTTTTGCTAATCAGCTTGCATCTAATTTTAAAGATCATAAAGGAATGGCTAATATATGATGACAATTCTGGGCTGCTTAAATCATTGCTTCAACAGAAAATGCTTCATATATAAATAGATTGAAGAAATATTTTGGAACTGTTTTTCTGAAACTGCTGTAGTTTTGTTAGAATGTTCATAACTGAACATTCATTTCTTTTGTTAAATTATAATGGTTTTGAATACATGTTACAATACAAAAACAAAATAACTACAGCAACATGAATGCAAAATAAAATTAAAGATATGATTTTCTAGATGAAGCAATAAAGAATCGATTTAAAAGTTAAAAAAAAAAATCTCTTACAAAGTAATAGCCAGTCCAAAGTAAACTTAAACCGGTAAAACTATAAAGATAAAATATAAAAAACAACTCCATCTTAAAAAATAAAAATAATAACAACAAAAAATAATAGTTTCAGCCTACTGTAAAATTTTTTTAATGTTCAAATATCACGCTTTGCACTAGATGTCCTGATATTGGCTTTATACGTAAATGACACAGTGCAATATTTTGATAGCTTTCTCCAGTCCTTTTGATAAACCAAGATATTCACATTCATGAAAAGAACTTGGTTGACACTCTATGTGGCTGTCTATGCCTGCAGTCAGACCAACTAGTGCCAAGGACATAAGATCCAATAGAGTTCACATCTACTGAGGTACTGCTTGGTCCAATTATGCTATATCCTCAGACTTCTGATGTATTGGCAAAATGAACTACAGTCAAATACCAAAAATCTGCCGACCTGAAATCCCCCAACTCCTGGAATCCAAGTTACCTCTCAAAATATAAACATTCAGTTTATAGGTTACGGAAACCACAACATTGAGTACGAAATACCGAAGAAAAAATACTTACCGAATAATGACGTCATAATTACCGAATAATAATGAGTCACAATGGAAATACCAAATTATTGACATCATGATAAAAGTTTTTTTCCCTCTAATCTGCATCGAGGTAAAAAAGCAGATGATTCTCTCAACTCTTCTTTTAAGTTCACGATTCACGTTGTATTTTCTGAGCTTTGTTATTTCACAAGATTATTTAGTGCTGCCTTTTTTTTAATCCAGATATTTTGTGGATAAATTAAGAATATTTTAAATTTCAGCCCCTTTTAATACAATGACAGATAAGAAATGCACTCATGATTTTACTGTTTGCAACGTTGAAAAACATAAACATGTTGCATTGACGGTAATGCAAAAAGTGCAAATTCTGCAAAAGATGGAGGCAGGTTTCACTCCTCAGTTTATAGCAGATTTGATGGAATTGCAACACGATTGTGTATGATATACGGAGAAATAAAGAAAAGCTGTTGAAATTTTACAACAACAGCGATTCTAACACTGGAAATCTTTGCAACATGCGAAATCTGCAAACCTGGATGCTGTGTACATATAATACAATGAATAATGTAATCAATTTATATTTGTAATACTAATTTAATGCATATAATAAATTATTGCAATAATGTATATAATAATTTAATTAAATGTATCTAACACACATTATTTATTTTGCACTTTGCGTTTGAATATTATGATTAATCTTTTCTGTCCTGAAATCCCTAAACTCCGCACAACCTCTGGTCCCAAGCTTTGCAGATTTCTGGACTTCTACTGTTGTTACACAGGAATATACACTGTAAATCAAATGCATTCCTTATAAATTTTACATACTTATGCACGGCAACAGTCTTTATAGACCTCAGCTATAACAGTATGATTTTCCATACTGAACCATAATGATATGTTTTCAAACAAGGATTCCACCCTCCTAATAATCCCTTTTGTTAATGTAGGAAAGGTCACAGCACACCTCTGGACCTTACTAAATATACATGCATTGAAAATTTCTCCAGGCTAAAACAGAACTTCTTAGTAAAAAGTACACTAACACATTTTTGTGAGCTTCAAGCAATGTGGTCAATAAAAAATTTTCTATAGATTTGCATATATTACATAATTAAAGTGAAGTATATAGTAGGCTGCTTTTCTAACACCACTAACTCACACAGCTATTGAGATACAATTTGCCAGGATATGGTGATTCTGAAGATGTCAACAAGTATGCAAGTCCAATGTATTCACAGCATATACCTTGTATGGTCACATACCAATCCTGCTAAGCAGGTAATACATACCTTCAAACTTCACCATTCTGAAATCTTCAAAACTTAAAAATAGTGCTTCCATGCTTAGATGCTGTAGCATTTGGCTCTGATTGTGCCCAATATATAATCTTTCAATGATTCTATTACACATGCCACTGATATGGCTTTTGTATGTAAAATACTTTAGAATGGCTATTTTTCCATAGTGAAAATATATAAATTTAGATATGATCAGCACAAAAATAAGGGAGATTAATCATTTTTTATGAACACAATGATAATTGATGTTAGTAAAAGTTTCTAACTGACACATAGTAAAGAATTACTAATCATCTTGCAAAATGACACTGATACAAATTGGACATAGCAAAGACAGAGACATATCACGAAATGGAAACCAAAATTCATTATTATTTACTAGGATCTTTTATAAATAACAGTATATCATTTGATATTATAAATTAAATTAGTAGTATTATCAATATTAATGGCCAATTGATGTCTGAAAATTTTTTTTGATGGAAATGATTACTTTAAATAATTAGAGACCTTGAATGACAGTAAAAAATATGGAAGACTTAGGAGATCACTATAGGAGATGAGGAAATATAAAGAATTAGCTCAAATATGAGAGTTCCCACGAAATATGGAAGAGTTCATCACCATAACAATACTCACTAGAAAATATGAACACAACCTACCTGAACAACTGAGAAATTAAATGTTATAAGTTTCCTTTACTGCCAATTTTGTGGGAACTTCCATTTATCCTCTCAAAAGAGCCAAACAACATTGACATCAGCTAAACATGTTTCAAACTAGTACAGTCATACATGAATATCAGCCAATACTTTAAATTATTGACTATTAGATGTTCATATAAAATTAATTAATCTTATAAACCATATCTTAACTAACAAAATATGAAATAATACACACCATATGTCCATTACCATGTGCATCTGTTAGGCCATCAATTACTAATCCATCCTATAAAACAGAGACTAAAATTTTAACATGTGAATGGGAGGGAACTTAGTAAAATTATGACAGATAAAATATATCAAAAGCAATGCAAGGATTTACATTTTTCATATACAATTACATTGCAACTTTTCCTTGCATTAAAACATGAATTAAAAATTTAGTTATTAAATACATATTGATATAAGTGTATATAAAATCAGGTAACAGTATGAAAATATTTGTCCTCAGTACATACCAAAATTATGAATTTGCATTATCGCTGTATGGTGGAAAATTAGAATCGAATTATGAAGTCTGTATAATGATTTTTTTCATTCATTTATAGCACATGCATCTATTTATTTTGGCATTACGTACTACCATTAAAATCTTAAGAGATACATTCGTGTGAAAGCAGCAAGAAAGCAGATTCATATAGTATGGGATCCCATGCCATTGATACAATACATACAAGTGACTAAACTACCCTATAGGAAATATTTTGAACAATTATTATAACTTTATTTATTACTGCACAGTTTTCTTCAGAACATAATTTTTATGTAAAATACCTAAATAATTGCAACTGAATTTAAAGATTGTCTTTCTTCATATTTATTTTTAATATAATTTATTTCAAATAAGAATTATTGAAGTTAATAGATTCTAGAACTGATTTGATTGATTTCAAAAAAAGAATTTACTGCTTCATTTCACAAAATTAATTACTAATGTAACATTTTATTCATTCTGAACTTCCTTTCAAATAGGTTAAAAATTATATGCAATCTTCTGACATGTCAGCAAATACTTAAATAGAAAAATTTTTAATACTTTTTAATGGTACAGTAAAAGCCTGATTATTTGGCATTCAACTAACAAAAAAGAACAAATAACTGGAAGATTTTAGTAAAAAAAAAATTAATAAGTAAAATTTTAATAAAAAAAAATACTGTCATAGAGTTTGTAATACTATTAACACATATACATTCTTGCCAAACAGTGTGATTTGAGATTTAGTGGCAATAATGGATAAGCATGATGTCCTAACACAATCATCAGAAGTTCATTTTGGTTTAACGTGAACTTGATTAATTCTTGATAAGCTGAGTTAATTTTTGTAGAGTAGAATATAAGTTACACAGGGTGAATCTGAATAAGAGGGCAGAATTTAGGGGATGATAGAAGGCAGCTATACGAGTAATATTCATCCTAGAATGTATGGTCGGAATGCAAAAGGCGAGACGCTAGGTGGCATTGTAAATAAATAGTATAAAAAGGATCAGTCTTCGCACTCAACAACATTTTCTATTGTGGATTGCCAGTTATATAAACCATAAAATTTCCAGGGCAATGGATTGATCAAGATGGTCCCATAGCTTGGCCACTAAGATCACTGGATCTTTTGTGTTTAAGACTTTTTCTTGTAGGACCATATAAAAAGACTAATCTTCGAGTCCCCCACTGAAACCAAATCAGATCTAGTCACCATAATCATTGTTGTTGTCTGCAATTATTCGGGAAATGCCTGATGTCTTCGCAAATGTGCGTCAATCCCCCCAATCTCGAAAATCTGAAGCCTGCATTACAGCTGGCAGTTTTTTTAGTCTTTTGAGCAATTTCTATTAGCATGTTCTGTTAATAAAATGTTTTCTGAAGTATCTTCTCCTTCTTGGGTTAATTCTTTAAATGTGACAATGGAAAACTACCCTTTAACTTCTCACTGCTTGCATTTTGACCATACATTCTAAGATGAATATCCCTCATATAGCTGCCTTCTGTCACCCCTTCAAGTTTTGTATTCTTGTTCAGATTCAACCTGTATGTTTTTCTCACATTTTGAAAAAAATATTAATATCTGTAGCTGCATGAAGTAGAGTATTTTCAAAGTTACAGGATCCGAGTATAAAAAAAGCCACGATACATGACACTGAAAATGGATAAACAATGGTGATAGAACATGAGAAATTATAAGTTTTTATGCTATATTCGTAATTTTTACCTCTTTATTTTTAACTGAATAAAGAATGATATGTTCATTTAAACTTCTGCCAAAATGATTGACAACATTTAAGGAAATCTAAGACCTATGAATTACACCAGGTTTTTATAAGACTGAAATGTGTTTTATTTATTTTTAACCACTTAACTGTTTCATTTTCCAGCCATACTGTGACCAAAAATAAGCATATTTTTTATAAACAATTTTGTATTCTAGTCGATTACATGAATTCAAATCAGCAGTCAAAACTGTTAAAAGTATTGCATTTATTAATTTAAGGTAATTCTTAATTACGGCAAAATTAAGGCATTTTTCCTGAAAGTTGGCTTTTTTTTTTATGATGAAATTGTGAAACTGGAAAGAACACTTTAAAGGATATAAAGACGAAAGAAGTAAATTCTCTGTAAAAGGAAATTGCAGCAGTGGAGGTAGAGGATTACTAGTATCCATTTTATAAAAGTTCCAAACATGAATTAGATCATCTGAACTTTCTATTTCCTCATCATCACTTGAGAATTTCAATAAAGAACTTTCAGGGCTACCAGAATCATTTATAGAAAATTCAGATTCACTATCTAATCCAGAATCAGAATTATACTCTGCTATGAGCCATTTACTGTCATCCATCATTTTTTTGTTTCATGACAAAACTGGAAAGAAATACTATTCGCAAAGCCTAACGTACTGAACACCTGCAAAAAAGCTAGTTGAATTTCTCCACATAATGGAAAGTGGTAAAACCTGTCCACGAACTAGTTTTACTATTTAATCTCTGCTGTACTACATTAGAAACATTGCAAAGTAAAAACTGTGAAAAAGTCGGAAAATCAATGGATTTGTGTAGTAAAACACGCTGCTTGTGCAGTGTACAGGCAAATTTAACAAGTCCCTTTTCACGGCACCCGAAAGGTGTTCAGGCAAAACAGTTAAGTGGTTAATCTTAATTTTTAGTGTAGACTTCTGATATTTAACTTGATAACAAATAAAATGCTTGTTTTTTATAATTTTAGAGTGGAAATTTTCCCATTATACATTTGTGCTGAAATAATTACAGAAAAAGTGCATAATAATCTATTCTATAGTGATTCTTTATTTTATGCTAGTGTTAGAGAAACTAACAATTTTTAAAGATGAGGCAATATGAGATATTTCTTGATATTAATGAAAAAACTAAAATTTTTGATTAATTTCAAATAATAAAACATACACTTATATTGAAATAATAACAGTAACAATAATTAACCTATTCCAGATGTGGCTTACAGACACTAAAATGTTTCTAAGAGAGTTATTATTAAGACTAAATTTCTTATAGTTAGCTAAGATTATTATTTCTTCAAATTATAATCATGCGCCTCATACTACAGGGCAGCTTTTGTTGGTAATTTTTTTTTACACCTGGTTTCACTAAAAAAATTGTCACACGTGTTTCAGCTGCTTGGCATAACAAAATTCTTCTAGATGAGAATAAAATTCAATATTTTCATTTCATTTTTCACCAGTTTTGGTCTAACTACAATGGAGTTTCTTAATATTTGGTTGTCTCGCTCTTTCCCTTCAAAAAGAGTGAACACTTCTACAAGATTTTTGCCATGAAGATGAAAAATTAAGTCTCCTAGCAAAAGTAAATATGTCAAAATTGTTTTAGACAAAACATGAATAAAAATGCCATTTGCCAATAATACAAGTAAGCTCATCTGTTTTATGATCTATGTTATGATGTTATCAGTAATTATCAGATGAACAAGCCCTACACCATTTTTAGATCACATACTTTTAATTCTATTCCTCCATATGGTGTTTCTCCTCTTTGAAGATAATAAGGAGCATTGGACATACTTTCCATTCCACCAGCAACAATAACATCCTAATGACAAAAAAAGTATTAAAATTCTTTTCAGCATTAAATTTCTGTATACACTGCAAATGGAGAAGAATATTTAAGAGTGATCTCATTTAATTACATTTTGATTAAAAAATCTCTAATAAGCTATATTTGAAATATAGTACATGTTAATGTAAAAATGTCACAAAAGTTCTTTTTAAATTATTTTACACATAAATAATGCATAACTTAATTGGCTAATAATTGGGATAAAATATATCTTTATTAATACTAGCTGAGCTAGCAGTATTTGGATCATGATATTCATTGTATAAATATCAATGTATTGAATTTTAATAACTGAAAAAAATTACCTTTGAAATAATTTTAACAATTAAGGCAATGATTACAATATAATGATAAAAAATTAGCAATTAAGTAAATGGATTAAACATATTAATGTGCATTTTAATACAAAATACATCCAGAAAAAGAAAAATAGAAAGAAGGGAAGTAATGATAAAAAAATTACTTCTTTGTTAGAGCAATGATTTTACTGCCTGGACTACACATATCTACATTTATCTTGTAAATTATTCTTCCCTAATTAAAGAATATCAATAACAAACTTTCATCTGAAGCTCTTAAAACTGCAGTTGTGATAGCTGAGATTAAAGAGATTATGATAGGCAGGCACACACACAGACACAACAACAACAACAACAAAAAAGAGAAGAAGAAACTTGCCAATAAATGTATTTCACTGATGCAAGTACATCCTTAATGTTCACTATGCAGAACAAGTGTGGGGGGGACTGTTAACAGATTGTAAATTAATTAACATCAGTATTTACATTTAACTACTATTTCACCTATGATTTTCAACTGATGTTTTTGTTTTACTTTTTCCTGTTGTAGAATGGCAGTTGTCAAGAATTTAATATAATCTACCTGATTTTAATATTTTTTTATTTTTATTTAAATATCAAAATAATATCTCCAAGCATTTACACTTCACAGTTTCCACAAGAACTGTGATTAACTTTTTTAAATAAAACTCCTGTTCTTCTTATTACAAACAATGTTGCCACTAAAAACTTAAACAAATCATCATCTGAAATCAAATATCATCCATGCAGTTATAAATATGCATATTGATTTCTGACATACTCCCATCTTTTGATTAGGAGAAAATTAATCAAAATAGCAATATACTCAACACAAATATAACAATTAAATATACTAGAAATAGAAAATTTAACATAGTAATTTAAATATATAGCATTTTTTACAATATACACAGGTTTAACTGCTATGAAAGATGCATATGTTTATATTATGAAACATAAATGGCAAAGATACAGTTACTGAGTTCATTATAAAAAATCTACTAAATTTTATTCTCTTGCTTGCTCTAGTTGTGACAATTTTTCTTAACAGTTGAGGAGAAACATCTGTCTCTACTTTTGATATTTGCATCTTGGAATCCCCACTGGGAGTGGATATTTCCAGTAGAAATATTCTCTGGTTAGAATGAATCAGTTCTCCATTCACTGTTTTTAGACGCATAACTCGGACACAGTAGTCAAAAGGTTATCAGTTGTAATGATTGTCAAAATAAACGATGCAGTAGCTTCTTTTGAAAGAGCTATTCCCAGAAACCACCCCACCAGGCAGCTGTGAGAAAACTAAACTTTCATTGAAGTCTTTTGATCGAAGTGTCAACTTAAAAAATTTCCAGTCTAATGACTTAGACAGCTTAACCATTCACACACAGTTATTTCCATTGTCACTGTAAATAACTTTTGGTCAAGATCTTCTGCCTATGAATCTGCACCTCCCAATAAGAATTATTTGGCAGATACATATGTTATGAATTCAGGGTGTTCAGCCCTGTACACAGTGCAAATAAAAAGGATAATTCAACCTTTCTGTCAGTCCTTCAGAATAGCAAGACCTGCCAAATCTACACCTGTTACTTCTAAAATGGAGGCATCTCTCATCCTATCTTTTGGCAGTGGTGCAGGAACCCTATCTATTTGTTTGGACTCATGTCTCTTACAGCTGACACAAGCTGAAATGACCTTTCAGATATGCTTCTGTACTTTAAGGATCCAAAAGTTTTCTGCAACTTACATAACAATATGTGTATACCAGCATGAGCAATGCTTAAATAGAGATGATGAACCCTCACCTAAACAAGCTAGTGATAATTTGCAGAAGCATGGAATAAATAAAATTGATATCATCCGTTCTTTCCAATTAACTTGTAAGATACCTTCTTTATCTTTTTATGCATACACAGACTTAAAATTTCTTTTGAAGTAAAGACTTCCTTCTGAAGTGTTTTAACTATACACTTTTCAGCTGAAGTCAATTCAGAAACAGTTAATGCACTGAAGATTCAATCATTTTTAGGCATTTTTGTATTTGTAACAAATCTGAACATCCATGCTACCATTCTAAAGATTTTCATGTAATTAGAAAAGTAACTCAAGAATCATAAATTTTCAAAGCTATTACAAGCTAATGAAGTAACAATACTTTTATTCCTTTTCTGTGTTTACTTCTTCTTCATTTACAACTGAAGTGGATCTTAGCCATTCTTCTTCGGGTAGCCTCAACTATAAAGGACCCTCACTCCATTTGGATTCCTTAAGTTTGGCTGCTAAACAACCTCTGGAAGGAATACCTGCTGGGTTATAATGGTCACAAATATGCTTCCAATTCTCAGTCTTTATTAAACTGCGAATTTCTTTCATTTTACTTTTCACAAAATCTTCCCACTGGTCATCTTTTATCCAGCATAAGGCAGTGGAAGAATCAAACTCAAAACATTCTTTAATATCATTCAACTCTACGCTTTTCTTGACAATTGAAGCTAATTATACTCCAATGCAGCAAGTTAATAACTCAAATCTTGGAATTGTTGCCTTCTTCAGTGCAGCAACTCTTGATCTAGGCTTGAAGTAGTAGCACCAAAATCCTATTTCCATTCTCACATCTTAAATAAACTACCACAGCACAAAAAATATTAGAGGCATCACAAAATGTATGTAAACTATGAAAGGTCCAATTATTTAGCATACTGTTTCTGCGAATTTTAACAAAATATAATAATGGCAATTCTTTAAACCATTTTAAGAACTTTTTTTGTATGTCTGCAGGCATTCCAGAATCCCAGCTTAACTTTGCTTTCTAATTTCTTGTAACAAAATTTCTGGCTCAACAGTTACCGGACAACAGAATCTTACAGACAGAGTTAAAATACTCTCTGGGTAACTGACAAGATGACTCTTCTTGTCTCTGAAACATCTGAATAACCAATTTCACCTACATCATAAAATAACAGGTCTTTATGTTCGTCCCAAAGTAATCCCAACACTGATGTTGATCCTGATTTAATATCAATAATTTTCAATTTTTTTTTTATCTCAAGTATGGTTCCAAACTCTAACCCAAAATCTGCTTCATTCAATAACTGCATGGCTGATTTTATAAAAGAATGCAACTCTTCTTCTGAATCTACAGACATAATAGAGTTCTCTACACAAAATGAAGACTTGAGCTGTTCGACTGTATCTCCAAAAGGTGATTGGTATTGCTTCAGATTAAAACCAATTATTGCACCTAAAAGGAATGGAATACAATTTATCCCAAACAGAACATGACAGTGATGAACACTCCCATCTCATTCCTCTTGAAATCATGACACCAGAGAAATCTCAAGTAATCATGTTCCTCCTTGTTAATACTGATTTGTAGAAAAGCCCTTTTATGTCCGAAGTTACTCCTATTTCCTTTTCTCTAAATTTCAGCAAATCAGCAGGCAGTAGGTTCAATAAATTTGGTCCTTTTGATAAACAGTCATTCAGTGAAGGGTATCCTTTCTTTTTGCAAAGAAGGACTGAACACAGGCCTCACCATTGTTGTGGAATTTTCTTTAAAAACTCTTCTGTGAGGTAAATAGTATCCGTTACCCTCTAACATATGTTCTGAAACTTCTTCAATTATGCCTTCATGTACAGTCTTTCAAAACTACATCATATGCACCAAACTTATTTGCAGCCTTGAATTTGATAATTGCAAAAACTAATCTTTTCATAGCCACATTTCTGCTGTCTGAAAGATCTTGATATTCTAACCACATCAAGGTAATTTCATATCCTCCATCAGTTAAATTTAATAGTCCTTTTACAATGATCCAACAACACTTTTCCATATCATTTTTTATTTTCACATGGATCAGTAATATCAGTTACTTCTAACTTCCTAGCCTACCAGCAGCCGAGCAGTAAAGTTGCTGAACACTGGTAGTTCAGTCGGAGGTTCGAATCCAGTGAACAGCATGGTTGGCTGCATGTGCGTTTTCGTGGTTTTCCCCAAGTGTAGCATGCATGCAAGGCAGTTTCCCTTAGAAAGTCCTCCACAAAGCAATCTCTTCCCTTAGACAGATAACCTTCAAGTTTTTGCCATAATTATATATACCAACTTCTAACTTCCACAAATTTTCAGTTTTACCAGGATGAAGAAGAAGAATACTTAACAAATTAGAGTTAGTATCATTATTTGACTCATCTAACAGCTTTGCCAATATAATGCATTCAAACAGACTTTGAATAGGAACTAATCCCCCACTCTAACTTACATAAATATCCAGGGAGTAGATTTCCAAGCACATCAGCTCCAAGTAATATTTTTACTTATGGTTGACCTCTACCCACATCGGTCAATCAAATTCCTTTAAGTTTCAATTATTCCATCCAACACCCCTACCTGTGAATCAAACCCCAAATTCCAGGCTGATTCAAAATTTCATTTCTGCAGAAATAATCTTCAGTTAAACTTTTGAGAAGAATACTACAGCACTGATGATTTTTTGTTCTAGAACTATTAACTCTGAACAACAGATGCACTAAAGTTTCGGAACCAGTAGGCTCGCATCCCATTTCTTTAGCAGTTTTCTTCTAGAGCATTGTGAACATTGTGAACCCAAATAAAAAAATTATCTTAACTGTACATTTCTTTTCTTCCTTTTCTTCCAGATTTACTAGTAAAGTTTTGAGGAATACTTCTCCAGAATAAAATAAATTAGATAGAGGTGTATTTGGTTTTTCACTGTCTTTACTTTCCTTCATGTACTTTCAGCTCTGGGCACATAACAGCCTAGTGTTTCTTATACAAACAAAGCGTCTTGCATTGGATTCACAATTTCTCATTTCATGCCCTTTTTCAAACAAGTAAAACAGTTCCCTTTCTTCTTTAATATATCTTGTTTTTGATTATAAGTCATGTGTGGTGTTAAAATACAATCTTTGCTTTCACATGGTTTTTGGCAAAATATACAATTTTTTAACTTTCTTTTTAATCATTTGCAGTTGGTATGAGTCCATTTTTGATTTTTTGAGCTGATTTTTCCTCCTTCATTATATTCTTCTTCTTCTTTTTAAATTCAAATCCACCATTGCCATAGATATTCGTTGTTTACTTTCGACTTCATTCCTAATACAAGTCTTCAGATCATCCAGTCTACCCTTTAAAGTTTCTCCAATTTTTGATGGTCTCTGCCATATTCTTAGTAATTTCTCAGAAATGCATGACTCTGCTAATGGAAATAGAATGACATCCTACATTTTTGCATGAACTCTCAATGAATCTAATGTTCTTAACTGTGATTCAAGTTGAACATGCAAAGCTGAAAGAGAACAACATGACTTTGTGTTTTTTATTACAATAAAAGTTCTCCAATATAAAGTTCAACTAAAACATCAATTTTCCCATGTCGGCCTTGAGACTATCACTTTTCAATAGTTCTCAGCAGTAACTGGATAACTTTAAACAAACTCTCTCTAGAATTTGGAGCTGTACAATATGGCATTAGAACTTATTTTCTGGGTATACCCTCCCAGTTTAAAATCAATTTCTTGAACACAGATAAAGGATAACTACCTCTTTAAATTTCCATCACATTTTCCAAGTTTAATATTTGGAAGTTTGAATGTTTGGTTTTGATTTTTATGGTTTAGAATTGAATTATCATCCTCTTTTTCTTTAAAAGAAATTGATAAAAAATTTTCTTAACTTAAAAAAAAAACTTATTATATTCATCAACTGACTTCAAATTTGAAAACGAAAAAGTTCCGAGTTCGAAAACAAAAATCTTTCATTTTCGAATGCTTCATCCTTAGTACTGTCATCTTCTAGAGTTCCCTGATTATATTTTTTCTTCTATTTTGAACCTATACTGCTACAGAAAGCAGCTTGACAGTATCAAACAAAAATTAAAAAAAAATAATAATAAAATTTAAAAAAATATATCTGAAAGGTTTCAGATTTTAAATTACGTCCAAAGACACGTTTTAAACATTTTGTCTGTTACCTTTATTTATTAAACATCGAGTTCTTTGCACTTAAACTATAAAATTCAGTTCAAGAGCAATATCGCAAAATAGTTTTAAATTGAGCATATCTTTAGAATTTCCAATACATAACCTTGCGCACTGGAGATAAAAATGTTTTTTCTGTACAACGTTGCCATTGCTCGCTTTAAAATCCTTGAGTTTGTTAATCAAAAATTCATTAAAGTTTTACAAAATATGAAATTGATAATAAAACAAATTCAAAAGTTCAAATTTGGGCTACCACATGCCCATATTCGCAGTAGGATTACGTCATTCAAAATTTGATGGCTCTATGTACACAATGCGAGAAATGCATTTTATCACAATGTGAGAAATATACATAATTTTATGCAGATTTTTGATTATTTAATTTCTTCAAATTAATTTCAAAGTAATTTAATTTCTTCTTTGTGAATAATTACAATTATTTCCTATTCAAGCAAATGATTGTTATTTCTGCTCTGTATCATAATCCAAACACCAAGTTTTCTTATCTGTCATAACTTTTTTTACAATTTAATTAAATTTTTTTACTGGGATTATTGTCTGCCATTTCAATCAAATCTTGCCATGAATAAATCTTTGATTTGATCTGAAATCAATACATGAGACAAAACAAAATCAATCCCTCCCTTCTCTTCAGATCCTTCAGCAGTTTTAATGAAATTTCCAAATGTTATCATTCATTTCATGTTCTAAAAGGTAATCTTTAATAGCTTTTGGTATCAGTACCTACTTATAAGTACTTAAGTACTACCTTACTCTATAAAAAAACATCAAAATAAAAATCACATTAATGCTTGTCCTTAACAGTTCATATACACAACAACTTGCAGGTTTCTATTGCAGTGTACCTAGCATACAAACCAGATAACCACATCATTACATAGATGAAAGAGCACACACACACAAAATTATAAATTGGAAAAAGGGTATACATAACATGTCAAAAATAGCGAAATTTTGGTGAAGCTCCGTGTACATGTGCGAGTAGCAAGGTCGTCTAGTAAACAGCAGAGCATAGACATTGACGAGTGTAGCAGACTATGTACTAAAAGAATTTACTGCTAAGCAGCATAAGAGATTACAGGATTCACAAAAGCAATATTTTTATGGTTGTGTAATTTTTAATGGACAGTCAAGATTTATTCTAGCATCTGTATATATTCATCCAACTATTAACTCATGAGACTTGAAGATGTTCCCGCTTAATGATGAAATAATGATGATCATTCTAATGATGAAATATTCTAAGATTACTTTATTAACTGATGAAGAGTTTACTATAGATACAGATATTCATATTATTATCATGGTAGATTTCAATGTAGATGTCAAACACACTTAGTCATTTATAGATTACACACAAGTCATTTATAGATTTAACATTTACTAGGAATATAACTGCAGGAATCTTAAATTATGCATCTTATTTCTCATATCATCAAGCATGAATGAATAAATGTAATAAATAAAAAATAAAATAAAATATAAGAATGTGTTTTTGTTAATTTTATTTCTTCTATGACATCCTGACACTTCTGTTACTAATCCTATGCATTAAAGACCAGCGGCTCTTTAAACTAAAGGAGAGAGCCTGCTATCAATTTCTTTTAAGTTACTTTTTACAATGTTTAGAAAAAAAAAAAAAGCATTAAGTTTTGAGGAACCTTTGAGTGATATCCCTAGAGCCCCAGGCTCTGTACTGTGCAGTTTAAGAAACATTGGTATACAACATAAAATAAATCCATTAGTAGCACTAATATCTCAGTGCATATAATACATGCATCACATGCTTATAAATATAAAATTGGGGGAAGGAACATTGTTTTTCATTTCATTCATATAGAATCCTTATTAATTACAATTAATCTGTAACTATACCCTAAATCATCAATTTTAGACTCAGAAATTCAATTTTATCAGACAAACCAATTTTATCATATTCATAATTTACATATGGATCTATATTCAAAAGCATGCTGCTTGTAACATAACTTCCATATTCAAATCAAAAGACGCAGGCTGTACAAGCAACCAAAGATGATACAGAGGCACCCAAGTGAATGCAGCTATTGTCTTAAAGATTCATAAAGAACTTATTTAGGAGATATGCCAAATTCTTTTGAAAATTCTATAATCAACACTGAAAATATTTCCATACTGTTTTACTGGGTGCAAAGGTTATAAAACAAGTGTCTCACAGCACAACAGACCTTTGTTCAAGAGTTTCTGAACTATAAGAAGAGAAAAGAAAATTCCATTCAAATTTTGTGAATTGATGAGGCATATTTCTTTTTAAACATAAAAAACTTCATTTATTCATCTCACAACTGGTTCCCGTAATTTGTTCATAATGCCAGTGCATGACAATAAAGTAAATATATGGAATGAAGAGACGAGTCTGTTTCCTTTTGCAACATGGTTTTTCAAAAAGCTTTTCACACATAGTCCCCGTGCATTTGCAAGCAATATCACTGCCACAAATTATGCACCAGTGCTGTTCACAAACATTATTTCAGAGATATGAGCAAGAAATTCTTTGTAGAGTGCTATTTGGATGAAATACAATACTTTAATACATGTCAAAAATATCAAATGACTGTTTTAAGACTACATCTTATATCACTTTCTGTTCCCATGGTGACCATTCTCTCCTGATTTAATGATTACTGTAGTCCACTGAGGAGCTTAAAGCATCTTGAAGAAAGCAATGAATATCAAAGCTGATATGCATTATGACACTGTTATCTCTGTTGTCAACTACAGACAGTATGTCCTCAATAATACTGAAAGACATATCAAACCTTTGTAAACTTTATAATAAACAGCTTCTCACCTTTGCAGTACTGCAACTGTAATACATATTCTACCTCAATCTTTACACATAACAAATACATTTCTCCCTATACTTATTCTACAGAAGTGACAATGGATTTCTTATTTCCTGACTTCAAATTTTGCTATTAGTTGGTCAAGTTATTTTATGACCACTTCATACATTATTTGGAGAATATACACTACTTTTGCTTTCCTTGTGACTTTATGTTTGTTTTATTTCAAACATAAGATCTTAATTTCCTCTGGCCTATTACTTTTAGTATCCAAATGTGCCAATTTAAGTCATTCGATTATAAACCTGAAATAGTATTACAACCTAATAAGAACAATTACAAAAAATAACCTTGATTATACCATACCTGAAGACCAAGCATTAAACTCTGTGCACCTAGCATAACTGCTTTCATGCCTGAAGCACAGACTTTATTTACAGTTGTACAAGGTGTTGAAACAGGTAGACCTAACATAAATATTCAGAATTTCAATCTTAAAGAAATGGAGGAGATTACACTTGAATAATTAACAAGAATTATATAACATTTTAATAGAAAATAATAAAAATGATAAATGGGATATTAAGGGGTAGGTCAGAAATTTCACACCAGAAACATAAAGAGTATGAAGTCTAAAACTACATATAACCAAGAAACATAAAACAGGAAATTTTCTTCTTCAGAAAAATTCATTTTTCTGAAGATTATAAATGGATTCAGAAAATATACATGTAAAATCTATTTTTAAGATGAAAATTATAAAAGAAAAATTACATAATGGATATTAAATTGTTAGTTGCTATACCAACTCCAAACATAAGCAACATCAGGTGCCAGCAAAGTTATGTCATAAGTGACAAATACATAAATGTATTTAATTTTGAATTATGAATATGTTTAATTTACATGGTCTTCCGATTATACTGATCACCTAAGTAATCAAAACCACAGAAGCCAGGCCTGGTTGGTTGATTGTGTGTGTGTGTGTGTGTGTGTGTGAGAGATTATGGCAAAGCCTAGAGGGCTATCTGCCTAAGAAGAGGGATGCCTTCGTGGAGGACTTTTTAAGGGGAACTGGCTCGTATACACATTATGCATGGGGAAAACCATGAAAACACCCATGCAGCCAGCCCGTTCGCGGGATTCGAACCTCGGACCGAACTACCAGTGTTCAGTGACTTTACTGTTTGGCCGCTAGTGGGCCGGTTGGTTGATTGAATTAAGACAAATCAAGCAATGGGATATTTGCTAAATGGAGATTGTTTAATAAAGGAACTTTTATGAGAAACTAAGTCATGATTCTCATTATACATGAAAAGAAAAAATAGATGGTTTTCAGTATATGTAATAGGCCAATGTGGCAGCAGAGATTGCTGGTTGGGAGTCTGAAGATAAAAATGATTTAATTCTCAACAGTAACATAAAAAATCAGTTTTTATTTTTTTTAAATGTGACATCAATAGACAAAGCAAAGATTATGAAATATATCATTCGATATTTAAGGAAGAATTCCCATTCTTGAATCTAAAAGATGGGCAGGAGTATTCACATCAAATACTAACAACACTTCACACAGCATTTTATATTTTGTGCTGAACCCCATGCTACCTCTTGTAATGCGAGTTCCTGCAATGTGAATTATATATCAAATATTATACTGTGATTATGCAATGTTCTTTTCCACATATTTAATATTTGTATATACATATTTAATACTTGCATATAATGCCCTTTTCAAAAGTGAATTCAGAATTTGTGCAAAATATATTCCGATAATCTAAAAGAATTAATTGAATGGGGAGGACTTCAGAATTTAATTCATTCTGGAAGACTATTCATCATATGAAATGCTCATAAACCAAAACTATTTTCCACAGGAATTCATTCAAATTGGATTAATCTATTCTTGGATGACAGATGATTACTTATTTAAACTTTACAAATAATACTTTGTACACAAACTCAGAACAAAAAATAAAATAAAATAAATAAAAGATTTAAAAAAAAATATCTTGTACCCGTATGAAGGAGAGTGGACAGCATAAATGAAAAAGGATGTGGAAGCGAAAGGGACCTAGGGGGCATTTGGATAAGAGTTCTCTTCCATAAAAAACCCTCAGGTAATTATCTTCTGAGACATCTTTTATTTTTTCTTTGTTTCTTACTGTCATTTGAGCTCTGCTTTACACTCCCTTCCCTCACAATTTGTCGAATGTAATTTGCCGTTGTTTGTATATTAAAATGTTTAAAAAATATACAATATGGCATTGTAACTGGCACTGCTTATGCTCACTTTTTAGCTTGCTACAGCTACATCAGGGTAATATTGTTAGATGAAACATTGCACCTTACCCCATTTTGAACAAATATCAAAAATCAAAGAACTGGATTATCCTCTCTGCCTTCTCTTTTTCTGAAGATATTTCCTCAACCATTCCCCTTTGGTGCTGCTTTTTAAGTTTTTTCAGTTACATTTATTTGGTACTTTCTGATTTTGGGGGGCGGGGTACACATGCCACCCAGTCATGAATTCGTTGCTGATTCACTTTTCACCAAGCTAATGCACAAAAGGCAAGAGTCATTTTCAAAATTGCACTGCACTAAGAATTTCATACAAGAACAATCAATCAATAAAACTTAAAAAGCAAAGAAATATCAGTAATACAACATTTACCTTTTTCAAGAAATTCTTCTTTCCTGTACTCTTATTCTCCCCGTGTACACAGAGATCTGCTTTTGAGCCCAAACTGACTTTAGATAGAAGAAAAATTTGGCTTTCTATTTTATGAAAGGCAGAATTGAGTTTGTCTTTGCTTAAAGATATTCAATTCAGACTTAATTCATTATTTTCATAATAGATGATATTACTGGTCCTACTTTTTCATGGATATCAGTTAAGAAAAGGCATGAGTGTGTTTAGCTGCTCAACTAAACAAAGACAAGTTTTTGATTTCGGTTGTTTTTCGATGAATTTTATACCAAAAAGTTTTCTTTTTTAATAATGTCTGATTCAGATATAAATGAGAAGTATAGTTTAGGTTCTTCGGGATTAGATAGGGTCAATACGAGCTTGTGTGCAGTACCATGTTTTGGCATATATTATACTGTAAAAGATTTGTGAAATTGAATATTCATAATTATATTGTTGTATTAACATCGGCTTATATTTAGCTTTTATTTTTATTTAATTTGCTGTAATACTAGGCACTGCATTTAATTTTTTTTTACTAAATAACAATTTTGTAACTTTTGTATTGATATACAGAACAAAATAATTTTTTTTTTCTTTTCTTTTTTTGGTGCGTTTTTCTGAAATATATGCCATAGTTAATGGGTTAATTTCAAACTTTGCAATTTTTTTATGTCGTATCCTATTTGCAATGAGAAACTGGTTAGTAAATAAATTACGATAATTCAAGGTGTACTTTTTCCATTTAAATGCCATTCAGTAATATTTCTTTTTGACTTACTAGTATCTTTATTTATTTTATTATATTTGGCATGACAAAGTAATTCTCATGCACATATTATAAGTTTTCAAAGTCTAAAAACACATTATGAATATTCCCATGAAATTTAGAATCACAATGAGGTAATTGAAAAAAAAAATTAAACTACATATATTTTTCATTTTTAACTAATGCAAATAATATTACAAGTTAGATATGTTCCAAAACTGAAATCTTACAGAATTCATATCTTTTCATATTTTCTAGAACACAAATTCTGTAAGATTCTGTGAATAAGATCTCTATTTTGAAACAATTTATAATGATGAATATTTTTCACAATAATCTGCATAGGAAAACTCAATCTCTTAACATTAGAAACCTTTGTCTAAAATATATTTTTATTTTTAATTATGTATAAATGCAAACATTTAATTTTTCAATTTCTGTATGGTTCTTGAATATTATTTCCAATTTTAATATAAAATATCTCAGTTGATTTTTATTGCATGGGAGTCAAAGTTTATATTTTATAATGGGTACAAAATTTTTCTAAATTATATTAATCTTAATATTACCACTGCCAGTGGCGTAAATAAGGGTATGCAAGGAATGCTGTCGCATAGGAGCTCGAAGGCTTAGGGGGCCCTCAAATGTCCTGCTGAACTATATTTACATGTTTAAATTTAAAAGAGGAATTCTATTACATATATATAGAAGCTATAATTCATTTTCCCCTGATGAGTTCGAGTTTCAATAGAAGATTAATTATTATTTTTATATTTTTTTATCTTGTATTTTTTCCCTTTGGCTTTTCATTTTTATTTTTAGAAATAGTACTACTATGAATTCTTATTTTAATTTTGATATGTTTGGATTTTGTGTTATACCCCTTTTACACGATTGCTAATATTAATATAGTTGAGGAATAGCTTTGCTTTGACTCCAATTTTACTTTTAACTTTAGAATCTTTAAGTATATGTAGATAATAGAATTCATTTTCTTTTAAGTTTTTAAGGGTCCCCTACCTATATGGTGCAGTGACGCAATTCTCTATATGACGCAGATAATAGGCCCTTGGAAGCACATGAAACAGCTAAATTCAGTGTTTCCAAAAGTTATATTTCCAGCATTCGACTATGAAATAGTAAACTTCATTATGACCTACCCCAATTTAGGGATAGCAAGTCAGCAGGTAAGAATCGGAAATGTTTCCTTGTACTTCCTTAGTCTTCAAACTTGAAAATTATTAAAGGCGACCCTCTAATAAGGAAAGGTTTCTCTTTTTGTAATACCCAAATCAAAAAGCGGTGGAAGTGGAAATTAATTGTAACTATTTATTATAAAGTACTTATTTTATATATTAATTTGTTTCTGTATAATTCGCATTATGAACGAAGAATCAATAGACATATTTTCTAAGTATAAATCAGAGAAGTTATAAGGTATTTCCCCCACTTTCCTAGAGTGCCTTCGTGGTGTAGTGGTTCTGCACGCTGGGCCGGTATCCAGAGGTCCGTGGTTCGATTCCTGGCGAAGGTGGTTGCTAATTCTCCATTTTGCCTGCTTCCAAAAAATCCTAAAGTCTCTACAGTAGCGCTTGAACTAAAAGGGTGTTGGATAAGGTTTCTCCACACCCAAGATTTAGCAATTGGGTCCTTTGAAAACCCCAGTCGCCCTTTAAAAAGGGAGTATATAAGGTATTTCTCCCACTTTCCTAGCATTCCTTCGTGGTGTAGTGGTTCTGCATGCTGGACCGGTATCCAGAGGTCCGTGGTTCAATTCCCAGCAAAGGCAGTTGCTAATTTTTCATTTTGCCTGCTTTCAAAAAATCCTAATGTCTCTATAAAGTAACTAGGCAGGATTTTGGTACTTAATTTGGAATGAACTTTGCAAGTTAAGAGGAATCATTGTATATTATTTGCAGTCGCAATTTTGATAATATGTCATTCGGTAGCGCTTAATTTTGTTCACATATCACACACTCTTACTATCATTTCCATTAAACCGAAGTCCA